GGCACTCACTGCTTATTTCTAACTCTTCATTGCCAAAAAAACAACTCATCTTGAAGTGCAGAACAGCGAGTGGAACAAACAACTGCAAAGCAGAGTTACAAAAAACAATATCCGCAACCCGGTGATGTCGTCTGCTGAGAGCGGCCAAAAGAAGAAAAATATAATAAAAAAGATGCGCGGTCGGGTGTAGCCGCGTTACTTCCGGCACTCGCTTCTCTATATTTCTCCGACCTCCGTGCGCAGGTTCCGGTTTCGGTATCCAGCAGTTGCGTTTCTTGGCTTTATTAAAACTATGCGTGATTCTGAAGCAAAATATTAATTGGGTAGTCTTCTGACACCATATTAAACCGCTTAGCAAAACATTGAAAAAAAGAAATTTTGGGGTGTCAGAGTCCCTTTAAGAAAAGCTGCCATCATTCTTTAAAGGCTTATTTTAAGTTCAGGTAGAATGCTTAGAGAGAAAGACGGTTAGGAGTTGAGCGTGTTGGTACATACTTGTAATTATATCAACTTGCACTTTAGAATAATACTTGAACACGAAGAAAGAAAGGACAGGAAAGGACGAACAGCCGATTACCAACGATGTTTAGTGTAAACGTATTTTTTCCGTGTTTGCTTCTTCATTCATAGGTCGAAGTAAGCACGATCAACTTAATACATAAATAAACCTATCGCACTAATAAATATTACTACTGGTTCATTCCCCCAATTCACATAATCCTTGTCTTCTTTTTTTCCCAACCGGCGTGTCGATTCGGCGAGCCTGCCAGAACATTAGCCCAGTTATTGAATCACACGTGTTTGGGGGAGCGGCAACACTGTTATGGCTAGTTCCGGGATTGTAGAAACCTAGAAGCGGATGGCGGCCGGAAGAGAGCTAGGGCACGTAGGGGAAGAAGAGCTCGAGAACTGGGTAGAGGGAGAAAAGAATAGACCTGTTGCAAAACGTACAGCGCCACAACGGCAGAAAATCTCGGGAACCCTCGGTACAGATCACGCGCGTTATCGTTGCGCCTCCGCGACTGCGCGCGCGTCCCGGCAGCTACCACCAGCGGCCGTTGCAGCCATCCGCCACCCCGCCCATCCGCCGAGTCGTACGTCATCGGCAGCGTGCCGTATCTGTGGCAGCGTAAAGGAATCGCGACAGTTGAACTTATTTGAATACGTTATTCGTCGTAAACACTAATTTTGCACCGCAACCGTGGCAAGTTTCGACCAGGTTCGACAAAGCGTTGGTGCAGCAGACGACAGAGCCGGTACAAAAAAGAGGAATGAAAAAGCGGCAGCCGTTGGATTGTCGCTCGTCCGACTCGGCTGCTCAAACGTTGTTGCCGTGATAACCAGCGTCTGCTCGCGTATGCCACGTGGTAGAGGGAGGAGACGTTGGGAGGGGCGTACCGAGGACTCCCATTATTCGTCGCGCGGTGCGCGGGGGCTTTTGGGATTTTCAAAAAGGGTCGACTGTTTGAGATAAAAGCAGCGCAGGCGCGCGAGAACGCACAAAAAGAACAACAAGCGAGAGAACGCACATGTCAGGCCGAAGCTTTCAAACTAGACGAAGAACGATAGATTTAAAGTAACGAATCACGGCTCAGGAGAGAAACTCGCGAAGCTCAAGACGCGGGGGACCGAAGTAATTCAGCTGGGCCAAGTTACTACCGGGCAAGCCCTTACAAGCTTGTTCCGCAATACAATAAGAAGCGCGACGACCTCGACGCTTATTTTCAAAGATTTGAGCGTACAGTGACATATCTAGAATGGCCACAAAAGAAGTGGGCAACTACCGTGAGTTTTTGTTTGACGGAAGCATTGAGCGTCGTTGGTCGCATGACTCTTGCGGACACGATGGGTTACATACACCAAGGTGAAGCTGGCGCTGCTCCAGAGCTTCTGGTTTACCAAAGAGGGTTATCGTGAGAAATTTTGTGATGCGAAACCGGTTGACAGAAAAACCAGACGACAGTTTGCGGCGAGGTTGGTCGGATATTTTAATAGATGGCTGGATGTTGCAGAGGTGGAGAAGGAATCCGTAACACTACGAGAGTGGATGCTCATCGAGCAGTTTATTATATGTTCCAGCAAGCCAACCGTTTTCTTAAAAGAGTCTAGCATCTGCACGATGCTAGACGATCTGACAGGAAAGGCTGACGTATTTCTGGAGGAAGTTTAACCAAACTATGCAAAATAAAAAGAAGACGAGTGTGAGTCTAACACCAGCATCAGGACATCCGGTAATGCGTTCAAGGAGGATGTGAAGAGAACTCTCCGATGTTTTTTATGCAACAGGATAAGGCACAGGGCAGAGAACATCCAGAGCCGAAGCAATTGCCCTAGACAACCATCATGTTGGCCCTGTGGGAAGCCGGTGCATGAAGCTGAGACGTGCAACCTGAGGTCTGGTGATAAGACTAAGTTTCTTGCCTATGGACGGCATTGGATGAAAGGCAAGGGAAACCGGACGATTCCAACATTACCCTGAAGAACGGAGACAGGATTCAGTGTTAAATCCGACCGTTAGACGAGCACCCAAGTTCTTGGTGGAGAACAGGCCTGTAATCGAAGGTCGTGTGGGGGGAACGGAAGTTAACAGTGCTGCGGGGCACTGGTTGCAATACTGTACTTGGAAAAAGTGCCCAGTTCTCATCGACTGCTACACTGGCGAATCAAGCCCTGTATTTTTGCTTTACCGGACAGTAAATACCTATTAGAGGCTGATAACTTTGTTAATACACTTTTCTTCACTGGAAAAGTTATCGCAAAGTGTATTGAAATTGGCAGCATCCCTCAGGCAAGAGAGGAGCGCGAGCCGGACCCGGCCTGGAATAGCGACCAACAAAGGAGTAAGGAAATACCATCGTAAACCGAACACGTAAGTTTTCGAGGACAAGGCAGAGAAGAAAATCGAGAACAGAACCGAGTCGTCAGGACATGAAACCGAGTAGTCCCTCTACAAGGCCACATGCCAGCATCGCCGGGCTCTGACAGACAAAGAACATAAGCGATAGAGGGCGGGCACCCTTGAACGTACCGCAGGTTCCAATTCTCGAAGCGACAGCAGGGGAACTTTCGAGGGAGCAGAGGAATGGTCCGTCCCTTGAGAAGTGTTTCGACAACGTTGGAAAGGGAATAAGGAAACACTAATCCCGCACAAGACATGACATGATGATTCGAAGCAACTTGCTTTGTTCGAAGCTGCGTGTTTGCCACTGGGAATAACATTGATCAATTGGTGAAATAAAGAAAAACAATATTGACCAATTTGTGCTGACAACGAGATACAGGCCAACTGTGTTGGCAATGGCACACGATGGCATCATGTCGGGACAGGAAGGTATGAAAAATACGCTTGCATTGGCGACAGAAGAGTTCTTCTGGACAGAGATTCAAAGCGGCATCAACAGGTATGTTCACTCGTGCGAGGTCTGTCAAAGAACAGTGCTAAAATGAAGAGTAGGTAAAGCACCTTTGGAGACCATTCCTACAATCGAGACACCTTTCAAGCAAGCGGCAGTCGACATCATCGGGCATATTAAACCAACAGCAGGTTCGGGCAACCGATATATTTTGACGATAGTGGACATGACCACAAAGCACCCAGACGCTGTTCCCTTGAGGAACATTGGAACATAGCAGGTGACAGAAGCGTTTTGGAAATGTTTGCCAGGTACGGTATTCCACCAGAGGCTCTTGGCGATCGAGAATCATGCTTCACCTCGGATCTCGTAAAGGAGGTGTGCAAACTTCTTTCCGGGAACTGTCTACTGACCACCCCTTACCACCCGATGGCAAATGAACTGGTAAAAAATATTAACTCGACCATCAAAGAGATGGTGAAACAAATGTGTCAGGAAAGGTCCAAGGACTGGGACAGCTACAATACAGCACTGTTGTTTGCCTAAAGAGAAGTTCCGCAAACAAGCCTGAAGTTATCACCCTTTGAGTTGGCAGCTGCCACTATCAGTGAAGCACTGAGTCCAGCGGTCTGGTCGACGAAACCTTTGCCGGACTCCGACACGTGGGGCTGCCATGCGCAGCTCCTTGCGAGGTCTGCGCTACGACCTCCAACCATTGAGGCGAAGGCAACCGCCTCCACGAGGATATGCCACGGAGGACTCGTGAGCCGAGCTTCACCTCAGGTGCCTATGTCCTTACCGAGCATCAATTAGCGCTGAGACGCATGCAGGCATTTCCTTATCGTACTTTCTCTTAGGATAATTGTCTCTTTCTTTTCCGGCGGTTAACATTTATCTTTTTTATAATACCAAGACTTCCACTACTTTAAATTATATGACTTATTCTTTATTCCCACAATTCACATGGTCTTTTTCTTCCTCTTTCCAAAAACGGACGTGACAGTCGTAGTTAAAGACTGAGAAAGGGTGAACGAATTAAAGTATACTTCAGTATGAGTCTAACAAGCGCGAGTTCCCGATGGTCAGATTTAAAAAGAACACGGACGGACCTCAGACTTACGCCCGGCAAGAACACCTGAACAGCAGATTTGAAGCATATACCATCGAGTGCCACTAAATAAGGTACGCTTCAGAGGAACGACACTGCGCCATATTGTGGGTTAAAAATATGGTTGACAGTTATCTTAAACTTTACCTGAAATCATAGGAAACGCTTTTCCGTTCTCCACAAACATTTAAACGGTTCGCGACAAAGCACAGCAATATTACATGACCTTCCTAACACCGAATCTAATGCTGACGAAGTCGCACTTTGGAATCATGATGATCAGCAGTTGTGTCTGGTCTGAACAAGCACCAAAATGTTGGCACCCGCAATAATGTCGCGGAACGGAGTGCCGACACACTAAGCGCACCTCATTTGCTGGCTCTAATCATTCATCGATGGCGTAGTCGTACTAATCCTTTTACTTTCCAGAGCGTCTCGCAGTAAACGATTAGTCATAAAAGCGCTTGGCTGAGTAAAGATTGATAGCGGACTACAAATATTATTAAATGCTTATGTGCGCTTGTTTATTTTTCTTGCAGATCTACGCTGTATAATTATGTATACTGGACACAAATTCGGACACATGGATCTGTGGCGTCCAAGACGTTTGAGCAGTTAGCATTTGACTTTAAGAAAGGGGCATCTGGAGTAAAAACAGACGTTCCGCTTTGGAAGAAGTGTACCTCGGCAATATCAGGCGTATTGAAACATGCACTGGGTCGTCTTTATGTGGATTATTTTTTTAAGCCCAAAGCTAAACGCAGTGTAAGTCAACTTTTCAAAATTCCTCTTAATGCCTTCCGTGAACGCAGCGCTTGAGATGTGACAATTTTTTTATTTAAAATAAAACTATCTTGTATTGTAAAGCTGAAAATGTATACAACTATATAAAGTCTAAGTCACGACACATCTTTAGCGTGTGCCACACACATCAGTCAAAATATTAACATGCTTCCTTACTTGTCCTAGTAAATAAAATATGTCTGCATTAATGCGGCACACTTGGATTTCAATTTATTATTATTAAAGAAATAAATAAACACAGGCGAAATCACATTTAGAATTAAGTGTTTTGATAAAATCCAACACGTTAGTAAAAAAATTGGCAGTGCTATATGACAAACCTCAGCATCGTAAGCACACGTCGTAGAGTTTTGGGCTATCCCTCGGTCACGTACAAACTATGATCTGTAATCCCTGCGGCATATTCTTCCATTTTTGTTAAATACATATCTCACCAAGAACATAGATATATATTCGGCTAGCAAGAAAGACATATTGTCGTATTTTATTTAGTTGGTTTTTATTGTATTTTCATTTTTTGAATGAATTGTAGCATTTATTTTCATGTATCTATATGTGTGCGTACTGTGTATTCATTCTTTGTTTTCTCTATGGAATGCTGCTGCCTGTAAACGGGGGAGCCTGAGCCCAGTCAAGCTGTTCTTGAACAGCTTTTTGCCTAGGCTCCCCTTCAGAATTTCTGGAGAATAAAAAGATTTGATTGATTGATTGATTGAAATTGCTACAAACAAGCAACCTCCCTCGCAACGAAGAATGTTGCCCAAACGTTACAGGGTTGTGGCTAATGTGGCACAACGTTAAGTCACATAAAAAAAATGTAACTGCCACGTTAGAAAGGTAACATTATCGGAACATAATCTAAAATATTAGCATAATTTTAGAACACTTGAATTTAACGTTTCTCAACCTTTAATTGACGTTATGGAAACGTTGCCAAAAATGTGATGGAAATAAAAATTAGAAACAGCGAGTATACGTTTTATGGAATTGGTACAATAATACATGTATGATAATACTAATAAAACGTAACTAAACCATCTCACAATCAGTATCATAGAGTGTTGGTGGTAAGCAAATTAAAGTTAATGAGCAACAAGGCACCACACTTGTGCGCGTTTCGATGTTCAACTGTTCTTATGCTGGTTTTAATGTTTCAATGTATAATGTCTACAGCTTCTTCGGTCAATCATCAAATTGCGAATTAAATGTTCGTTGTTCCAAATGTAGAAAATGTGGCATTTTAAACCAAGCCAGGAATGCTAATTCCCATCATTTAACACACGCCTTGCTTTCCCAGCATGCATTAACACCAAGTTATGTTTAGCGCAGTACAAGGACAAAACTCCCAAGGAATTTCATTCAATTTCGACTGTGCCTAGCTCCGTTCAACTTCTCTCGTGCTTGTCTTTTTCTAAATCTTTCCAACACATAAAAAGAAATCGGAAGTGACACTTTACACTGCTTACGGATGCACTGGGCACATGTTTAGTCAGCAGGAACCGTGGAACCGCCGTGGTGTATGGGAAACTTGTTCGTCTCGCACCCCGGAGGTCCGGGTTCAATTCCCAACCAGACAGAAATGTACGAAATTTTATTTTCAAAGCCATTAATTTATTCTGTCTAAAGAAAGCTCCATGAGGAAGTTTTCGCAGCCAGTTGAAATTTAGGTGCCGTTTCTCTGCTACGGACAACGAATCTTCTGATAAAGGCACACTCGGCCCTGGCTCTCTTTCGTGAGGAAACCCATTCTTCGTGACAGTCATTTGCCATGGTATCTTCACTTCTTTTGTAAAATGCAAGCAATCCTATAAGTTGAGGTCGGTTACCGCAAACTGTAAGAAGTTCTGGAATTAAAACGTAAACCGTGAGCTATATAGACGGGGAGAAACAGAAATAGAGACATACACATCGTTGTATGTCTCTGTTTCTGTTTCTCCCTGTCTGTGTTTTGTCCCTATCGTCTAGCTGACCGTTTACTTTTTAATTATGTACCAACTAGCTCAACTTCAGGTTGTTATTCTGGAACTATTTTTTTTAATCAAACTTTTCCATCTTAAAGCGAAAAAAAAGGCAACAAAATAAGTCTCTGTATTTCTCCACCGCAAAATACTTTGCGACATTCGAGGTCAGTATTGCGCATGACTAACGAACCTAATTCGAGCTCGTAGCTTGAAACAAATTAAAAGTTTTCACTCAGGCCATGCTAACAGGTCTGCCCAGGTGTTTAGGGACTATACACATCTAATTTTAAAATGACTAAACGAGCTGGTGCAAGAGTACAAGAAGCTAAACACTCCGTGTATTTTGGCCAAGGCAAAACATGACGTGCGTTTGTTTGTTTTTTTGCTTTTTTTTAATTTTAAGCGTTTTCTTGTGTCAGAGTAAGAAATCAAACAAAAGTACATATTGTAGCGCACTGTGTTTTCAGTTTACCTGTGGAAGCTCGCCGACATACAGTATTTCGAAGAGCCTTAAAATATGGTGTGCATGGTGGTGCGCCTTTGAATGCAGATTGGGAAACTAAGGGTTAATACCCCACGATTCGGCACTCTGGTCGAGTCTTGGTACATTTATTTTATTCTGTGAAAAAAAGTGCCGTGCTTGTTACAGAAAATAAGTAACGAATTAGAGCTACCCGTTAGCGTGTCAAAAATTAAGGCGTTACTGAGATTTCTTCTCGTTTTCGAAATGTCTCAAAATACGGTTACCGTCACCTCCCACTCTAACGAATGTGAACTTTTGACTTTCTTCTAATTTAAGTACTATTCGGCGGCGGTAAGCCACAGATGCGAGCTTCGACAACAATTAAAGATTTACAGAGTGATTTCATAGCGTTCATTTTATTTTTGTATCAGATTTGTAGCATATATATTAATTTTTTTTTTTATTCTGAAGAGATTGTTTCTTTTTGATTAATCTTAGTCAAGGATTTTGAAATAATGCCGCAGAGGAAAAAATATATTTACCATTATAACTTAAAATACAAAACCCGCATAAATTTATTTTTATGTTAAAAGTATATAAAATGTTAGGAGGACACTTAAGACCTCTTACGAGTAGGAATGCGAAAGCCTACGTATGCGTAGCGTTTTCCTACAAGCTGCATGCCCCGCTATCCTCCGCAGAGGCCGGCCGGGCTCTACAGAGTGGCGCCGCAACGCGCGGGCCGCAGCCAATCTGGCGGGGCCAATCCGTTGCAGTCATTCAGGCGCGTGGCAGCCATTTCAATAGCCTTTCCGCGGCGAGAATTTCTTTGCCATTTGTTTCGGGGTTATGACGCAGAGATAATTTTCCTGCCGTTTTTCGCATTTACGGAAAACGTCGGCTCCGTTCCATGGGACAGTTAATGCTTTCGCATTAAAATTTTATTTAAATGCAACGAGTAACATAGTTTGTTAAATGATAGCGTAAAGTAATAACAAAAATACTTTACTCGGCAGTCCTGTCTATATCTAAAAAGTATATTTGTATGTAACTGAAAAATTAGCACGTTATTATTAACGAGGTGCTGTTGTTAACGCGTTATTTTTGGTAACGCTCGATTTCCAGGAATTACAAAAACATAGCTCATGGGTTCAAAGGATAACTTAATATGAGCACATGCCCACCTTTGTTCCTCCCACATTATAAAACATTGTTCCACGATTCGTCAATACAACTTGTATTCTTGCAATGTACCTGGAAAAAAGAGCATGTTTAAAAATCTGCAATCTGCAAGCTTCAGCACATCGGTAGTTTAGCCCTGAGTCGCAGTGAAAAAAAAACCTCGTATAAATTGTGAGCTAAAAATGTATACTTTGTGTAACGCACATCAAGATACTAGGCACTGAGAAAAATCGGCCATCTACATTAAATCCTTATTTCGAAGTTTTTAATTCACGTTCCGCCCATTGAAAAGTACGGCGAAAGAGCACAAGTGCGCACCTGATCTCGCCTCCCCGCGCACTCCTCCCGCACGATAAATTCCGTCTGCCATAGCACCTTCACCAAGGCAACGAGTCGCCTTCTTTAGGAAAGAACGCGCGAACGCGGAGTGTGAATCCAGACATGGCAGGTGCCAATTCCGAATATCGTTTGCTATGCTCCGTTCAACCACAACCCGAGACTGCAGTCAATGCCACGAGCGCGAAATAACGAGTTCGCTGCTTTCAGACTATCTCCCGCTGACCAAGCACTCGCGCTTGAAATGCACTTCCCAAAGCCAGGAGCCTGCGCTAGATAGCGCTTGTAGCATTAGATGCCGTCTCATCTTAATGATGAACGGAGTGTAACACGCGACAATGCAAGCCAATGTCGGACGAGCTATTGTGGAGGATGACGCCCACGGCAGAAAGCAGCGGTCGCCTGGCGAACCCTTGGCGGTTCCAGCGAGAGTTGGTGCACGCTCGGGCCTGAGGTTATATTAATGTTTCCCCAAGCGAAGCGAGGGGTGAACGCGCGCAGCGCGACCTGCTTGGGAGCCTGGCTTGGAGTCTAAGCTTGCGTTGCCGCGTTGATGGAATTCGCAAGATGGCACGGCTGTAGCAGGGTTCAGACGCTGAGTTAGCGTGCACATCTAAAGAAATTCGGTGACCACAGCCACTGATCTCTACAACGATTTGCAGGGTCGCTGATCGCCCCTCCGCAAATGCGGCCACCGGTATGCCACCTTACGTCCGCCGCTCCATCTCGGTCAATCATAGACAGTTACTATGGTCCCGATCTGTGGGTCATGTGAAAACAGACGCAAAGGTCACATGACCAAAGCCTTGACAACACGAAGAGCAGGATATCGTTAACGTCGCTGTTACTTATCTTAGTGTTTATTTTGTGTTGTCCTCCTTTGGTGACGGTCGGGTGCCAGGGAGCTAGTGGACATCGATTCGTTTTTCAGTGCCCGAGACTACGGTATAAAAAGCGAAAATTTTAGTCGGAAGAAAAGGCACAAAAAGAGGAAAGTTTCAAACTCAGCTCCTTTCTTTGCTTCCACAAATCCTCATACACCCATACATTTTAGGCCGACTACACCCATCACTGAACGTTTACAAAGAGACCTATAGTTACAACAAAAGAGCAGGCTACCAGACATCAAACACACCCCTGTATCCCGAACATGGTCACTGAAAATATACAGACAAATTAAACTCTATTCCTTCTCCCCTAGTCCCCCGCTTTTAGTCTGAGCAACGAATCCAACCTTCGCGAAGAAAAACTTGTAGCTTTCAAGACTTACCTTCCAAAAGCCCCACCCTCTTCTTCACTTGCTCGGTTTACGGACAGCAACATCGACAAGAAACTGTTGTTAAGTTCGAACAGGGATTTTCTAAGATTGAAACGTATGATATGTAAAACGCTCGTGCAACGGGGGGGGAGGCGAAGGGGGGGGGGGGGGGCTGACAGTACATTCGATTCGTCTGAATCCAATTGGTAAAGGTGAATATATCATCAAGTGAAACCCTGTTTCCGGATGCGTTTTTTCTCCTGGTGTCCTTCCATCACGGCACCCAGATTCCTATGCTCCCGTTTGATGGGATAGATAAAAAAAATGTCCTCGATTTAATTATATAGGGTAGACATAAAAATACAAACATAACGTATATGTAACGATACGTTTCATTTTTTAAGTGTAACGGGAACGGTTTTTTTTTCACATATAGAACTTCTAACGTTAACGAGTTCCAAAAATCAGAAGGAGCGAGGAACGATCTTTCGTTCCTTTTTTGAGGAACGCGTGCAACACTGCATAGAGATCAGTGACTATAGCAGACAGACTTTGTTTTTTTTTGGAAGGCTACGACATTGCAGCAAGATCAAGTGCGGACTTGGGTTCCTTCGCCGTGCTTTTCAAAAGGCGGAGCGTGAACAAAGATAATTCGAAATAAGGACTTATCGCAGATGGGTGATTTCCTTCGGCGCATAATATTTTGGCAAGCCTTAGACAAAAAAAAATATGTTGTTTTAGCCATTTTCTTGTTGTTTTATGAGCATGTGATAAAGTATTACATTGCTTATGTTTCAACCCCTAGAGTCGAATGAAATTGTTTTAACAACCTCGAGGTGGTCAAGCTTGCTCTCGTTGTAAAATGTTTCTTGTTGATGAAAACTGTTTGCTGAGCCACCTAGATATTTTCGGTCTTACTTTTCGAAGCGCAGCAGCTTATTGACTTTCTTGGTTCTACCTAAGAGTCCTTACTATTGCACCAGCTTTGAACGGTCGTAACCTTTGACACGTCTGTTCGCAGTTCGTATAATGAGTGCTCGATGTTTCTACAGTGTACTGGTAACGGGGGCTGGTAAAGCTTCATAAGGCATCTTTTTACACCGGTCTCCGTCACTGGTGATGTAAATTAAACTATGTTCATTAGAAGACACTTGCTTTTATAATAATATAATCTCCGGTACTAAATCTTATAGGAACCTTGCTGTTCCTCGTGAAAAACGCTGAACAGAGCATAATTATTTATTCTCTCCGAAAATATAAGAACGAAAACCTGAGTTGTTTGTCACCTATTATAAACAATGGCTGAAACGCGCAGTTAATGCATATAAAGTGACCAATTCTGCCGTAATAAAAACTGTACATTCCGTTTTTTCTTCCCTTGATATTTGCACACAAAAAAATAGGTCGAATATATAAAACGCTCAGGACAAACTTTATCTGACGAAATAGTGATGAGCACACTTTCAAGATTATTACTCAATTCTTTTTCTACCAGATGGACCACTTAGTGGATGTCCTGAACAGTACCTTTGGGGAAATGCTTGAAAATAATACATGGATGGATAAGGATACTCGTGAGGAGGCATTAAAAAAGGTACCTACATCTATTGATATCTTGATAATCTAGTAATAACGTCATTAATTTCAGATTCAAAAAATGATTTATAAAATCGGTTATCCTGATTGGATTCACAATGACACGTATCTTAATGAACTTTATGAACATGTAAGTGGCATTACTAACATTACAGTTTAACCTTTTTTCACTGTGTGTAGAAACTCCTAGTGTCTTACAAATGTCTTCACTAGTTATCTCGCAAATTCCGGTTTTATAAACATTAATAATGAGCAACTACCGTACTGATCATATTCGCTTAACAAAATAATATTCTGCACATTATATATCGGCCAGCCGTAATATTTTACGGCTGGCCGATATTGGTCGAATTGATTTAATTTCTACCTAATGGTAGGGGGAAAGGAGAAGGTTGTTTGGTAGAGCAATACGATATTTGGATAAAGTTTCTCTGCGTAGCAATTGTTCCGTTTTGTAAAAAAAAAAAAAGGAAAACTAAAAGACATCAGGATAACTTTTTTTTATTTACAAATATTTCGTAATAATCCATAAAATTATTATCAGTCTAATGTTATGTTTTACAACAGACAGACAAAAACACGAATTGAAAAAACACTAGAATGAGATTTTGACGCACTCCGCTATGGAGCACTTCAAATAATTTAGATAAAACAACTAACCCTTTAAAATTGCCGTTTCATTCACCGCCTCAATTAGGCTACCACGTGAATATATAGGATTAACTTTTGTCTTTGTTTCAATTCGCCAAAGAGTGAATTAAATAAATCACCCTGTTATGCTCATGGGGCGCGTAAGAGCGCCGTTCACACTAAGATACATGTAGTGTGGCCACAGTATCTTTTTACACTGTACAACTAACCAAAAAATTGGTGCCCACGCATCGAACACTCGATTTCCCCGAGTGTGTATTAACGCAGCGGATTTCACTCTTTGAAGTTGTTCTCTTTTTGTAAGACGTCAGACCAAGAACCTTGCCGAAGTCAACGGCGGACATGTTTGGAGGCAATCGAGTAACCAATGAGTGCACCTTGTAGCGCCTCCTCCATATGAGCACGACGAGCAGACGACGCACTCTCTGATATACCTGCTATTTCGCAACTCCAGCCCGCCACTCGCCCTCTCGCGGACGAAGGAGGAACCAGAGGAGTGGGGACGGCGGTGGAGGCGGAAGAAGGGACTGTCGGCTTTGGCTCTGCTGTTTGCGGATGGATCTGGTCGAAATGTTTCTGAAAAGTGCAGTTTTAACGAAAAAAATTGAGTGCGTTTAAATTTAAATTATTGTGTTCCACTTCGCAACAGCGTAGCTCAACGAAACCGGGATGCTTAATTTCCTTAAGGATTTGTGTTTTTTTTTTTTTTGTTTTTTTTTTTGTAAATTGCGGATTTTGGGTCCTGCGGACGCCAGCTCAATCTGTCCGCAACGTGAAAGCAAAAGCTCCTGTTAGTAGAGCAAAGCCGTTGCGTGCGATCTACAAAAATTCTATTCTTCCCGAAAGTAAAAGAGAACTGCTTGCGCATCGGTATCCCTAGCAATAGACATCGGGAATGGGCTCGCATTTCGTGTGCTGTAAGGCCGTGACAAAGAGCATGACCGTTTGCTACAAGAAATAGAATATAACAGACTATGCGTACTTGCTTTCGCGTTATTACAAAGGCAAGGAAATTAATGCTCGCGGCATCTTTACCCCCGTCTGGGTTAGCCATCATATGTACAATAGCGGATGAGGACAAGAACATAAAAGGGACACAACAAGCGCTACTCACAACTGTTAATTTATAGAGAAATATGAGAAGGAAGCGTGGAATGTGATGAGTGAAAATTATGAAAAAAGAAAGAGTGTAATGATAAAAAATGACAAAATTATATTAAAAATATACAAAATATAGAACAAAAATTAAAAAACACACAGAAAAAAACGGAAGGTAAAAGTAATAATAATTTAAGAAAGAAAAGTAATTGAGGACATAAAAAATTAAGAAAAGCGGTTGAGGTGGACAGAAATAATAAAACAGGTTGAGCCAGCCGTTCGTGACGACTGCATAAAACGGGCGATTTTGGCGAGTCGGGTCGCGATGCTGCGAGTAACACGGTACACAGGTGTCGTATACGCTATATTTGAATATTTATTTTAAAAGAGCACGAAATAAAACTTCCATACACGCCGGTGTCGTTAAAGTGTAGTTTTAGCGTAGTGCTATAGCAGGCTACTGTGTGCACGGCAACGCTCCTGGTGCGCACTTAAAATCATTCTTCAATGGTGCCGTGCGAGCTTCCCCTTGTAATGTCGCGCCGTACGGTAGCCTGAGGTCACGCCATAACCATGACGCAGATTGATCACATGTTGCAACGCACTAAAACAGCGACGGCGTGCAGGGAGTTGGGAACCTCATCATAGAGACATCAATACTGCAAATGCTGCTCTTCCGGACCTTGGCGATCACCCTTTATAGCTCACTTTTTATAGCACTGGTGTCCAGCGCAGCGCAAACAGTAAAATATCCTCATAACCCTCAAAACTATTTTGCCACTTATAGTGACGTGGACCGTGCCCAAAACGTGCTCGCCCTCCACAAAGCTTCGCAAAATCTGCGGAATTTCCGGAACTTTTAAACGTCAACATGCTCTTGTTCCTAAAGCTTGCCAAGATATCTGTCATCTATGATATCCTACTGCCCTGACCGCTTCGCATTTTCAAAACAAATAAAAAGTAAGCGCACACACCAGCGTCAACAAGCAGGCAAACGGAATACTTTGGAAAATCTATCCCCGTCTCTTGTGTTATCTTGGAACCACAGCCCCGCCGTCTACCAGGGTGTTGGAGTTTCGAATACTTAGTTTCACCTTAAACTCGTAAAGAGAAAACGATCGGGCGTTTTGGAGCCAATCAGAGCCACCTAGGCGAAGCACGTGACAGCGCTTACAAAACGTACAGCGGTCAGAGCGTAACTCAAGCAGTTGGAGACAAGGATGTCCCAGACGGCGCTATCATTCTCTGCCTTGAAGATAAGCCTGCCACTCAAAATTGGGACAAAAGTGGCTTTCCTCTTTTACCCGTCCGTGAATTCGACAGCACTGCCCAATCGACCTTTTCCGAGAAGCGTTTTGCGCACGCGCAAGCGCCCGATGTCAAGCGGCGGAAGTTGGCACGAAAAATCGCGGAAATTCGGAAGGAGGATGTGGATCAGCGAGTAGAACACGTAATTGCAGCATATACATAATTGTGTTACACGAAAAAAGAAAGCGGATGGAAAGAAAAACACGACGTTTAGGTAGACGCCACGGATGCCCTTCTTTAGAGTCGCGTTGGGCACGCGCCGCAGCTCAGAGAGCGAAGAAACTGGTAGCGTAGCTCCCATTATCGATTGGTGACGCAGGTAGGTCACTTCCTTGATTTTTAGTTCGTGCAAACACCGCCTGGTGCCGTCGGTATGTGTAAAAGGTCCATTTAGTCAAGGGGAAGGGGCCGTAGCGTTCCAGTTTCGACAACTTATATTGAAACGAAGTATAACAGCGCCTCACGGGAGAGGGTAATTCAATTTAGGTGCATTGCTTACTCGGTCGACTGAGAACACGTACGCCGTTGACTTTGGACTTAGTCATCTGCGAACACCTATCGCTGTTAAAACCCTCTACCTGGCGGTGCGCCAGTACCCTCAAGTTTAACTTACGCTGCACAATATATAACTCTGAAAGAAATTTTAACAATATTTTATACTTCGAAAATAAATCCTAAAAAAATAATAAATTGTATAGAAAAATGCAAAATCAGTTTCACGTAAATTCAAAATGGCAACCAGAGTTTCCTTTCTTCGGGTTAGTGCTTTAAGCAGCCTTTTTAACCAGGAAGAAGCTTACCATAGCTGTTAAAAACGTAAGAACAACGAAAAAAACTAGTTCACTTTATTGTTGTACTACTTACCATAACGCTTAGGATTTCTTGACAAAACGTCAGCTACAATCGTAAGGAATGAAAGGAACGTATTTTTTGTCCTCCGTATTACTGTGTAATGCCTATCTTTTAGTCATGTTTCAAAAAAACACGGTGCTTTCTTCTTTATAGTCGCCACAATAAGATAGGTGATTGCAGAGACGTCTGTAACAAGTAAAAAACTTGATGAGTCGGTCAACGTAACGTCTCAACACCGTGTTTCTATCTACGATGGTTCTTTTGGGATTGTATTTATCTTAATCAGGGGAAAACTTTATGTTCTCCCTGTATCGTCTTGAAAGCGGAAGGCAAAATAAACTCGAAATAATATTAATTTTATGCGCTACAAGTGAATACCGTATTTTTCGAATCTTTGTGCATGTCGCACCCCTTTATAAGTACGTTTTAAGCGAACAATTTAATACATAAAAGTTGCAAATTTGTATAAGTCGCACCTATATATTTGTACAATCGGCGCAGCAAAACTGCTTTGAAAAGTCCGCATATATGTACTTTGATCGTAATATCTGCGCAAGCGAGAGGAACTTAATAAACCCGTCGACCAATCTAACGAGAAATGTTACCCCCGTGAAATATTTATGCAGCTAAGGCCAATAGATTTTGAAACAGAGAGCATATAGGTAGCACCGTTGGATAAGACGCACCGACAGAAAACTGTATTCGTTTTAATAATAATAATAATAATAATAATAAATTTGTATTCAGGAACATTCATAAATTCATACAGGAGTGCGGGGGCAATCAAAGCCAACGGTGGCTTGTGTGACGCCGCCCAAAAAAAAATGAAAAAAGAAAGAGACAGAGGTTGAATGTCCAAGAACACAAGAACACAAAAAATTAGCACAAAGAAAGCAGAAAACGGGAAAGAAAACGATCATAAAGCAGTTAGGAGTGCACAAGGCAGGATGACTAATATATACACAAATGCAAATGTAGTAAATATAGACACAATTGTGAAACGACCAAGAACAAAGTCAGTACAAAAATTCGCAAAAATAAAGCAACGTGGACGTGAAAAACAAGAATAAAGCAGTTAGGAGTGCACAAAACATGAATAATATGTACACAAATACATACGCAACTAAATATAAACATTATGTAATCTCTCCTCCAGAAAGATGAACTTTCATACTTTTCTTCAGCTGGCTCAAAGAATTAGCCTGCAGAATTTCAGAGTGCAAATTGTTAAATGTCTCAGGCACATAATATTCGCGCGTATTCTTACCATATCGAGTACGGACAAAAGGGACTTTAAATGTTTCTTGAAAACGAAGGGAACGAGTAGGTACGTTTTCTCTCTTGAAATCATCAGACCAGAAGTAACGTTGGACAACAGTTCGAGTAAAAAGACTTCTGAGACATGGGAATTGCAGGAAATTAAACAGGTCACTGTCGTCAGGTATTTGCAAGCCGTAAGATACACTTTTCAAAATATTTTTTAAAATGCTATCTATTTTACCATGCCACTGGGTAGAACAGTTCCCAAACACTGTAATCCCATACCTTAACACGCTATATGCAAGTGTGTGGGCGATTATTTTACGTACAGAAAACGGCATAAGCGATTTGGTGTTATATAAAAGACAACTTACACTCCTTAGCTTTGCACAAAGTGACACGAATTGAGCACTCCAAGTTAGGCCGCAGTCAAATAAAATTCCAAGGTACTTGACAGATTCAACATATTCCAATGAAACACACTTGCATGGTACACATTTTGAGTGATGTAAAACAAAAGGGAAATCCAGACGCACGTATTTAAGGGGATTATGGAAACAGATAAGTTTAGTCTTATTTACGTTAACATCCATAAGGTTTCGCTGAAACCAGTCCATGACTGTAGTCGCAGCACACTGTAGTGAGCGGGCGGCATTTTCAAAATTAAGATGTCGAGTGACTATTACGGTATCGTCCGCATATTGATAAAGCTTGGCTTCAGAGAGAGATGTTGAAATATCATTAACAAACAGATTAAATAGAAGTGGAGACAAAATTGAGCCCTGGGGTACCCCTGCTCTTAGCATAGTTCGCGGACTGCGGGACTCAGCTGCAATTACAAGCTGTGAGCGATTTAAAAGGTAATTGGACAGAAAAGAAAAAAACGGGCCACGAAAGCCGTAGCTATGCAGCTTTCTCAAAAGGACTGAATGACTGACCGTATCAAACGCCTTCGATACGTCTAAAAAAAGGGCACAGCTTACAAGATTTCTTTCAAAACCGGAAAAGAGTAAATCAGAAAAGTCTTCCAGCAGAGGTTGAGTTCCTTTTCCCCGAATAAAACCAAACTGACTAGGTGAGAGGACATTATGCACGTCTAGAAAGGATGACATAACTTGGAATACGTGTTTTTCTAGGATTTGAACAATAATTGGTAATATAGAAATTGGGCGGTAATTTTCAATCTTATTCGCTCCACCTCCTTTGTATAAGGGCCTTACAATAGCAGTTTTTAGTTCATCTGGAAGAACGCAACTCTCAATAAAGCCATTCAACATATGAAGCAATACATGCTTGATAACCTCATAATTTCTGCGGAGATCGGAAACTCGGATGCCGTCAATGCCTGGAGATTTGGAAGACTTGAAACTAAACAGTAACGAGTGCAGGTCGATATCATTGAGCGGTGGAAGAAAAGCAGAAGCTGCGACGACATTGTCAAAAGTGATGGAAGAATCTCTGCTTTTACCAGAAAAGGTCGCAAAAAAACTGTTGAAATCTCTTACAACAGTTGAAAGATTTGGACCGAAGTTTTTTTTCAGAACGTTATCAACAGAACTTGTAGAAGGGTTGCCACGAAACTCATTGACGAGAATCCAAGTCTGTGTCATGTTCGAGCGAGACTCTGAAAATTTTTTATGAAAATACTTTCGCTTTGCACAGCGAATCATAGCATTTACCATGTTTCTGCAAATTTGATAGTTCGATTTAAGTACAGTATTACTAGGCGAACGCCTATATCGAGCCCACAAGTTATTCTTTTCCGCTATTGCCGCTAAAATGTCTGCATTCAACCAGTAGTGATTAGGCCGACGTCTTTTAACGCAGATTTCTTTTCTTGAGGAAACGTAAAACATATTAATAACATGAGCGAACTTTTGGTATATGTCCGTGGAACTAACTGATTGAAGAAACCCATTCCAGTCAAAGGAAGAAACAAGACGATCAAATTTAGCGGTGTCAATAACAGATGTTCTAGTGCCCAGTAAGCTATTTTGCGGGGAAGGGTTAACATTGGACCACCGACATGAAATAAAGTAATGATCTGCAAGCTTCTGTGTGATAATTGCTGACTGGACTCTTTGTGAACAAGTTCGGAGATTGATATGGTCTATACATGAGGCGACCAACCGACCCGAGAGAATTTCTTCACGGGTCGGAGCATTTATCAAGCTGCTAATCCCGTTACCAGAGAGAGTGTTGAGGTAAGTGCATACTGAAGGCTTTGAGGGGGTCAAAATGTCGATGTTAAAATCGCCGAGGATGCATAATTGATCGTAAGTGGACAACTGCCGAAGAGCACCATCTAGTTCATCCAAAAAATCGCGTACGTGTTCTGATGGAGGCCTATATATTGCTAAAAAACATATAGAGCTAAGTTCATTTGTGATATTGAGCGCAATACATTCGGCGTGATTGAACGTAACCGTTAGGTTATTGATGGACCAGTTGTCACGAACATAGACTGCAATCCCACCCCCTCTGCCACATGGCCGAGTGGTAAACGTACTGTTATAGTTTGGCATAGAAAACTGACTTGTCATTTCTGCTGCAATATTAATTTCAGAGAGAACAAAAACGTCAACTGAAGTGTTGACATCACTACATATTACTTTGAATTCATTCCAATGTTTTCGAAGGCTCCTGATATTAACATGAACTACTGTGCAGGATGAGTCTAGAGAATCTTCAAAAAAATTACGAAGTCTGTGAAAATCTGACACTCGAGCAAAACTCATTAGGGGCCTATACAATGCTGTCAATGTCCGTTATCTGGTTGACACGAATGAGGTCAGAACCTTCACTCTTCTTGGCAAATATTTTTCCCCTTTTCATGCATACGAATTTGTAGCCCTGAGCCTTGCCTTTCTGTCTTGCTAGCCAAAACAGCTCCTTGTTCGCTCGGGTCAGGTTATCATTGAAGTAAAGCCGTGGGATGCCCCCTGTTTGACTCAGCAGACGAAGGGCACCACGCTCAGCCATCCAGGCTTCCTTCAGACTGACTGAAGAGAATCGGATTAGGACTGGTGCAATCCCGTCCCGCCTGCCTGGCAAGCGATGTACTTCCTGAATATCAGAACACTGGAATGTCTTAGCAATAGACAGCTTACTCGCGAGCTCGGCTATAGACGCTACGAGATTTTCTCCCGGAGAGGTCGGCAGCCCGTGCAGTTCCATGTTAGCAAGACGCGAGTACTGTTCGCTGTCATTTTGCTCAGTACGTATTTTTAGGATCTCTGTTGCTTGGGACTGTACCTTGGCTTGGAGATCCGAGACCTCGGCCTGGAGGGCTTTCACCGTTTGATTATTTGATGTTGCTAGCGTTAAAAGAGAGTTATATTTTGCAGAGAAGTCAGCAATCGATGCTTGGACGTCTTTCACTGTCGTCTGGAGGCACTCAACAATAGGCCCCAGGGCGAGGAGTTCGTCAAGCTTGGCGGGGAGCACTTCCAAGGAGTCGACGCTCTGTTTCAGGGAGAGTAAGGCTTCAAGTTTTGCGTTCATGGATGCTAGTTCTCCCCTTAAGGAGCCACTTTCCTTTGATGGATTTGGTGCACTGGAATGCGCTGGGCTTGGAACTGAGAGGCTCTCATTATTGCGACAAGACCTGCAGATCCAATTGTCTCTCTTCACTTGACTCATGGCGGTAAACGTTGATTCAGAAACGCCTGCGCAGTTTTTAGTAAGATGGAAAGCGTTCTTGCAGGTCACACAAATCAGGTGTTTGCCATCGTTCCGAATTTCTTTGCTGCACTTAGCGCATTCCACACCTGAAGCCATGGTCTGCACCAGTTCAGTCTCTGCTCAGAAGGCTCGTGCAGATAAACGAGAAATCGACTAGCTCACCGCGAAGATGGTCTTGCTGGACAGCTGGCTTTGGACGAACACAAAGCTCTGCAGGGTAATAAGGCGGAAACCTGCCCTGGCAGCCGAGGCCAAAAACGACAGTTCTGACCAGGTCCGGATTCACCTCACGAAGCACACGGGTCAAGCGTTGCAGCTCAAGTAGGAGTCGAGTGACAAGCGCTGGTTGTTGATGGACGAGCGTTCCAAGCTTCGGAGGCACCGGAGCAATGTCGTCGTTTTGATGGCGGTCGGTGGTGGCTCACCGGGATGGTCTGAGTAGATCTTCGTAGGATTTCAAAGAGATGGGTCACCTCTAGCGTGGCAAGATAGGGTAATCTGCGTCCATCAAATGAGTGCAGGATGTCGAGGTGTTGAATATAGCAATTAAATAGATGAAATTTTGCAGAGAAAAAAATATTCGAGATATACTAAATATTTCCATGTTTTTTTTGTTTTTTTTAAGGTACCTGACATTTCCTTGAACGACTCATTTCTGAACGTCTTGCACAGTCTGGAGCAAAATAACTTTATTAAAAACCTTAAAAATTTACGTCAACCGTATAATAAGGAAGATGAGTGAGTATTGGTATTATGCGCGCTACTTTTGGCCGTTACTTTTGGTCCACCGTTTGTTTTACATAGGCGTCACTTACATTACAACGTTACTCTTTCTTCATGAAACTTTCCACAGGTGGGACGCTGGCGTGGCAATAGCGAACGCGTTTTACAACTCAATGACAAACGCTATCAGTAAGTACGCCTTTTTTTAATTCATACTTTGTAAATTCCAAACATTAACGAAACTGGTGAATATTTTAGAAATTTTCAAATGTAAAAAGAAAATGTCAGTTAAGCAATCTTTTGTATTTATATCCATTAACGTGCAAGTGATAGAGCTATCACCACCATTTGTCATTTGTATAGCAATGTAGTATATTTTTATCTCGATATATTTTTACTCTTGCGTAAGCACAGAATTGTTCTGGGAGGTAAATTTTCAAATTTTTTTAAAATATTACGCTTACTGGTCTTAGTTTTAAGGATTAAAAGGTACTTTTATAGCGACCACATTGAGTTCAAGAATGTCCGACGTCATGTATTTAATCGAGTTCATTCAGTAAAACTCAAGCCTAGTACAGTTATTAATTCATCAAAATTAAAGGGATGTAGTAATTATATTAGTGAATAAAACCACTTTCTAATATGTGGTTTTCATGATCTTACAAATTGATCCCATACATAATTTACTTGTAATGTTTTAAACAATACATGTAAATATGTTGCTGTTTATTACAATGTTTAATAGCAAGTACACTTATCTAGAACTTCATATATAGTTTGAGATTATTACTAAAATGACGCATACAACCTATGTTTCAGCTTTCCCTGCTGGAATACTTCATCCGCCATTTTATCAAGACGATGTTCCTTCGTAAGTTTGTTATGAATTCAATCAAATTTGTTGCCAAAAGGCTTCCTTTGAAATAGAAGTCTGCTTTGCCATTCACCATTCATCTGGAAAGCGCCCTTAATGAGAGCTGTCAACCAATGTCGAGTATTTAAAATTGAATCAAATAATGAGCAAGGCTGCCCTGTTTAGGAAAAACTGTATTTTCCTTGTACTTTTTTTTTCTTCTTACGGCCCTTGCGATGAAAACTATTATAGACGGAACGGGTGCTTGAAAACAAGTCTGCATTGAAGCAAACAAATTGAAATTAAACAGAAAAAAATGTATAAAAACAGAACTACAAATCGTGTTAATCAAGATTGAGGTGTGTGGTATGGTTTCGTGGAAATTATCTATATTAGTTACAATAACAATATTACTTAGAAAATAAATTTATTTACTGATGGAAAGCCCATATTGTTTATAACGAAAACAATTTGTATACTCCCGAGTTGGGCAAGTTGCGATCTCGTTTTATTTATTGTGAATAAAGTTCAGGCGCGAAATGTGGCAGCGCTCAGTGAGTAGTGTAATGCAAATTGTCTCTTGCAATTGGAGACCGTAGTGCTGGGTGATTTTTCTAAATACTTATTCTTCTCCTACAGTGAGCTTGACAAAAATGATTCCTCTCCCTGTAATGCGAGATGTATAGGGTGACCCTAGTCGCCAGGATCGATTTAAAATGGACCGTAAAAATCGACGCCTGCACGTACTAATCAAAACCTTTCAGCAAAGGTCTATTTTTCAGGTCGCTGTTTTTTTGTAAAATTACAAAGCGTAGCTTTTTTTCTGTAAAAAAAAGGGTCAAGAAACTTGCCAAGATCTACGGCGGGTGGCGACGCAGACGACCAAGTCAACCAGCGAGGTGTGTTTGGCGTCCGTATTGATAGATGGCGCGACCTCATTATTGCGACGGCTCGCGACCACCGTGGGTTATTAAAATGAACATAATCTTTTTAAATGTACCTTTGGTTAAAAATAAATGCGGACAATAAAAGCAAAACTTAAAGAAAAAAAAAGCGTCTGCATAAGACGGCGTTTTCGCTGCCAGCGGATTTCGTATGCGTGCCGTCTGCTTTCTTTTGCTAGTCGGCTGCACCTTCGAACGCTGCTCCCGTCGCCACCTATCAATACGAACGCCAAACACACCCCACTACTGTTCTTGGTCGTCCGCGTCACCGCCCGCCGTAGTTTCTTGGTCCTATTTCTTTATGAAAAGAGAGCTACGCTTTGTAATTTTACAAGAAAAAACCGACCTGTGAAATACACCTTCGACGAAAAGTTTAGGTGGCTACGTGCAGGCGTCGATTTTTACGGTCAATTTTAGATCGAACCTGGTGACTTGGGTCATCCTATATACCACGATTATGAAGAGCTCATTTGGTATAAAATATATGACAATTCTACTACCCCACACGTTTTTATTGTTTTGAAAGGTATCATTCTAGCAAGCATCATCCTGGTAGCCAAAGCTTTGATAAAAAGCTTAAGTTTATCTAATTCCTGCTTAAAGAAACTCAGCTGCTGTGTGAAACGTACATAGGCTCATAGTAGAAAAACCCAAAGACAAGGAGCTAAAAGAACAGAACAACACCGTCTCAAAACCAGCACAACAAAGATTTGAAAAGGGAGCTAATGGTTTGTTTTTGACGACGAGTCACCGCCGTTTTGGTTGGTCTAGTGGTTATGTATTTTTGCTTGATTCCTTCACATGTGGCGCCTGCTGATAACCAGGGGATATGGAGAGAAGAATGAAGACTGTGCCTAATTGAATCCTTGTTGTGCTGGTTTTGAGACGGTATTGTTCTGTTCTTTCAGCTCCTTGTCTTAGGGCTTTTCTACTATGATTCTTCACCAGCTCGCCTGCGTCTTTACTTAATTTCTTTAGTACATAGGTTGTTATTTTGAGACTTATCGGAATGTTTCATTCGAAGATATGCGAGGATGTTTCAAAAAGTAAGAGTAAGTTAACAGTGTTTTATTAAAGAAGCACTGTAGGCCTTTGAACCGCTGGCACTGGGAAGTTACATTCCTAGAGAAGGTGATATTTGCCAATAGGTAGCGCGACGTGCTTCGTATGAACGCTAGAATATACGAAATGGCGGCTTCCCTAAATGTTTGCAACGTTAAGGAGTAGCTTGCGTCATCAAATTTTGATGATCGCAAGGCGTGAAACCTCAAATGATTCACAGAATTATGCCAGAACAGTGTGAAAATGCTTGCATCAATGACAGAAGTAAGTGACGGGTTTATAACTGGGCAGACATCAATAAGTGATCGGAAACGATCATGTCGTCCTAGCACGGCCGGGTTGTTGCTGGTCACTGATTGATTTACGGTTATGTTTAAACACCTGGTACCACTCGTGCTGTACTCTCACTAGTGCTTCACTGTGCGCAACAGAGCCATTTGTTAATAATCGCCCAGTCCTAAAACATGGCAAGCGAAAGGAAGGCTATACGTATGTGGTTATGAGTTCAACAAACGAACGGCACGAATCACCTTGGAAAGCCAGAAAACGGGTCTTATTTTAGATGAGAAACAAAAAGGTATGCTGAATTGAAAAGAAGTAAAAACCTATAATGTGAAACCCTTCATATGGCGTTTTATGTTCCAAACCTTTCCGTAGAAAGTTTACACGTCCCTCCAGGCTTGCATCTAAAGCTTTATTTTTTCTTTAGATCAATCAATATGGCAGCAATTGGCTCTGTCATTGGCCATGAAATTACTCATGCTTTTGATGACAACGGTAAGTATACCTTGACAATTTTTTTGGACGCGGTGAGCACACCAGTCCGATACCCGTTCCAGGTATTATGGTTACACGCGCTTACGACTGGTTACGACGAGGTGGTGGCTATCGCAAGCGAAATATGTGCAAAGCTTTGACGTGAAACGCAGAAGACATAACGCAATAAAAATCCCCCCCCCCAAAAAAAAAAAAAAAAACGCTAAGAAACCCGCTAAATTTCAAGCGCAGGACAAGTATACCTTTTTTAATTCAATATAAAACTGTGATTATACTGCTTCAACCTAGACTCTACCAAAACTACGATCTGATGGGACCAATCAGACGGCGTTCAAATTGTGCCATCACGGTGCACGTTCGTCATGTTTCTGTGCGTATATTGGTCATGGCATGAATCAATCACGAACAGAAAAGGCGTAGTCACTCGCACTTTCGATGCCGCTTGAATGGTCTAATTACCTCGTAGCGTCGGCTAAGTCTGGACTTAAAGGGAAATTCAAGTGCTTTTTGGAGACGTTTGTTTTTGAAAGCATATTGTTTGTTATGCTTCAGTCAATGAAAATGACCAGTTCTAGGCGGAAAGACGCCGGAATAAACTCGCAGCAATATAAATACGCAGGCACTATTTCCTCCTGGGGAGTCCATCCTGTGTCCCCACCACCGCCATAAAATTCAACCAATAAAAATTGTTAATTTTGTGGAGATTCCGAAAGTTACTAATATTGCTCGTTTTAGACACATGCACATTATATTTTGACAACCACGTCAAATCCTAGGATGTAGGTGACGTAATACAGCTATTATTGTTTGAAAACGAGCGAACTATGTTTTCACCTTGCCTTGTTACGCGGGAGTGATGTGACCGCGCGGCGATCCGGCACGCGGCTGCGTCAGCTGCGTCGGTCCGTCAAGTTCAACTCCGTAGTGTACCGGTTGTCTCGTCTTCCCGAGGCTCCCACTTCATTCCGTTCACGAAGCAAGGTTCGCGAAGACACGAATGCTTACGTAGCACCGGGCAAGAAAACGACCACCGAGGACCTTCTCCACATTCGTCGTCTCTGTGCGGACAACTTCGAGGCATTCTCAGCGGTGACCGTAGTTGTGGACGCCATCAGTCTGCTGTACCAACGCTTCTGCTTCCCGTCGCCGACGGGACCGAGCGAGGAACCGGCGAGAAAGTCCTGGTTAGTGTTTTGGTGATTTTTGTGAGTTTCATGAACGCCGCATTTGGCAGCAGTCTGCGTGACATACATGTTCGAAACTGAGGGCGTTTGTAGAAGAGAGAACCGTGTTTTTCGATCCGCGTAAATAAACTACGCATCGTAGAAATCTGAATATCGCTGAGACGCTAGTGATGACGACAGAACGCGAAAGTTTGCGAGCATGACGTTACCTGAATCAAAATGATACTAATACTTTATTTGTACTCAGTGGGTGAGGATTACCCACGCGTATAGGGTCACAAAAGGCAACGCTGCCCATACCGGAATGGAGCCGATGTACACCTAAGCCTAATAACGTCAGGATCTTTTTTTTTTTTTTTCTTTCTTCTGGGCCTAGGTTTTTGTCTCTTTTACCAAAGACTCGGTTAATTTTGAACATGATCAGCATCCACCAGCTCGCCTGTACACTGATTCTCGTCGTGTTCTGCGGTGCAGTTTATTTACTTGGACCAGAATGCACGGTTCTGTTTTCTCAAAGAGCTGCCACATCTCGCAAGCCACCGGCAGGAATTCTTTTTCTCCCGGCCTCTTGGTTCGAGCTTCATAACTTAGAACACGCTTCATTCGCGAGCTTGGAGCGTGTATGCGCAGCCAAAGCACGGTGAAACGAGTGAATGTGGAAACCGGTCATCCAAATGCGACACCCTGTGATGTGCCCGTGCTCGTCGTGCCGGTTCCCACGAGTGGCTCGCTCACTGAACGGCCAGTGCGCGAGCCACACGTCCCTTGTGATTCTTCTACGTCCTCGTCTGTTTTTGCTGCTTCCTACGATGAATTCCCACCGACTCTCCCAACTCTCTATTCTTCTAAATGTTAGAACCTATCGATCGCCCAAATTGCATAATTCAAGCATTGTGAAAAACATTGTAGGATAAAAGTGTTATTTGCAGGCCCTAGTCTCAGCAGCTGTACTGCTGCATCCAGCAAAGCAGGAAGGATCCTGAGGGACTGCACGGTCGAGATGAATCTTCCTGGTCGTGGAGGAGCCAGTACCGTTGGATACTTTCGACTCTGCCGTCCCCTACTGCCACAGCGAGGTGCCATACAACTGCATATTTCCTGCTCCCAGCAGCATGCCAGACTCTGATGTGACATACTCTCCACCCACTCTGCCTAAGATTTCGAGAGGTGAGCTATGCGTATGTACGCCTAAAACTTCCAAGTTTCTCTGATCTTTGCACGCCCTGTGCATTTGTTTACCCTCCCACCGCATGCGTCCACATGCTTGTGCCCCCTTTAATTTTGCCCACTAACAGTGCTTGCTTGCTTCGTCATCGTGCGTTCCTGGTGCTTTTTATGCTATCCATTGCTTTTTTTTATGTCCCTCACACGTAATACTGCATTGACTTTTCATGTGCTTCCACAGACATCCTGAAGAGGTTACACCTTGGCAAAGCAGCTCTCCTGTTAGTCTTCAATAAATGGGGCTTTCATCGAGGAGGTGGACTGGAACTGTATAAACCAAACCTGGACAACTCTGCATGACAGCACAAACACTTAAAACAAGTTCAATACCATTCAGACTTACAAAGCTAAATATATTTTCCAGTCTACACTACGGTTTCGCCTCCCATCTGCAACATTGTATCGTCTCGATTATTCACTGGTTCACAAAGATACAACCTATTATAATAACATATATATTATGCCTTGCTAACCTTTGAGGAAACAAATGAAAATAGTTTTAGCCAAAGCCGAATGATTATGCACCGGTTTTTTCGGACAGTTGAACTTTTGCCAAGCACCAAGAAGCATGCTGGAAGTGCATTTACATACGGCATCTGCAAGAGTAACTGTTGCAGATGCCAAGACATGCACACTCAGTATTTGCCCATCTCCCCACCATTCTCCTTTGTGCCTTGGCAAAAGGGTTTGAGTTTAACCATTGAAAGGAATGTCATTTATTCATTTACAGGGTAACTCGTATGTGCATTGAAGGAGCAAGAGCAAGCCTTGTTCCTAAACAGCGTAGTGTACGAGCCTTCCCAGTCAATGTGGCTCTGCGAACAAAGCCCTTGACTAGGATTTACATGCAACATAATCTGGCCGGCACTCGTGTTTTGGCCAGTCTTTCTCTCTGTCTGTATATTTATCCACTGATAATATTTCAAGTTAGATACTGCTGCCTGCCAGCTTTGGGCAAAATACTCGAAAAAAGTATTTAAGTTAATTTACTAAATACATTCTTCATAAAACATCTAAAATACCACTCAAGTTACTTGAACTGTAAAGTATCTTGATTAGAATACAAATACTTAGAAATGTAATTCCACTGCTTTTCAAGATATCATTGGATAATTTGTATCGACGTCAGTGACAGACACAATTGCACAGTATCGCAAATCTGGTTTACCGGAATAGTTTATTAGCACGTAACAGCACGCACAAAAAAAACTGTTTAAGTTTTTTGTTTGTTTTTTGTGCCGCCAAACTGTAAGGAGCAGGATATCCCTGATAGATGTTGCAAAACGTTTCCAGGGTAACAAAAAGAAGAGGTCGCTTCAGCTATAGTGACATCACGGAATATAACGTCATGCGGGACTCCTTAGACACATCCTTTAAAGGGACACTCAAGCGGTTTTTGGAGAAGCTACTTTTTGGTGCGATGGTGTTAAGGAAGTGTCAGTGAATGAGTATCTTCAGTTTTAGAAGGCAGAAACGCCTATTAATCACGCAGGAATAAAATACGTGCGGACTCTTTTCTGTACTTGCGAGGACCAATGAAATTATCGTATGTTTGAAAATTTTGGCGGTCTTTTTAAAGTTTCGTTAAAAAAAACAATTTTCAGTTCATTTAAATATGTTGTGCATGATAATTCTACAAGACGTAAAATATTTCTAGTTTAGAATACGCGATAGCGCAATTATCGTTTCACAAACAAGGGACTACGTTTTCTATTTGCCTTCCTCCGCGGGGGGTGAATTTCCCGTTCCCCAGGGATGCGCGGAAGCGCACGTATCTCCGCGCGTTGCAGGCCGGCCGGCTCCTTCTATCCGCAAACGTGGCGTCGGTGGTGATCGTCGGAATGGACGGCCTGGTGAAAGCTCATCGTTCCGCGTAAAAGCGCTATCCTTGACTGTGAATTTTCGTCGTGTTTCGCTATGATAACCCAGCACGTACTAGAAGGGAACATCCACCTACTCGTGCGGCGATGTCGTGGCGGCACTCTCAAGATAGCAGAAACGCCCGTGCCGCCGTGTTTGTTTACTTCGACTACAGTGGTGCTTTCTAAGCATTTGTGTCCTCGAACATCGCCCGGATTTCTGATTTGGCGCATTTCATGCGTGTGCTCAAGTTCAAGGTATTACTGGCGCGTACCGTATAAAGGATACGAATTTTCACGCGTTTTCATCACCGGAGAAAAGTGATTAGGGTTAGCAATCCTGAACGCTCGCAACATCTATCTGATCACGAAATCATATTTCTACGTTGCTATATCGCTGCTAAGATTACATTGTCTTTTATAATCGTAGAAAAGGCGTGTGGCGATATTTGTTCTATTGCAATGTCGTGTATTAGAGTCGTGATCGTCCAAGACGGCGCTGCATCTTTTTATTTTATTTTTTTCATTCGCTGTACCCTGCAAGCCTATCAAGAAAAAATAATAAAGCTTTAGACTAGAAAACTGTCTGTCTATATTCTGTTACGGCATTGAGTAGCAGTGCGTCCCCTTTTTTAGAGGGGCCGCTGACACAGCTGACGGCGGCGTACAGAAGCGATCGCCGTGCTGACGACCCGCTGCGCTTGTTGTAGTGGTTACAGGTGTGTGTACGCGCGGCGCAGTGCGGTCGTTCCGGTTGCAACGGACGCAGTCGTAGGTACGCGCTCGTTGCACATGTCTGAACCAGCCTTCCCCCCGTTCTCCCGAGGCGAAAGTCAACCTAGCGACATCGTTTGACATCACGTACCAGAGGTAACGCTGCGATGTCAAACGTTGGTTTGGTTACGACTTGCCCCAACCGCAAATCGAAGAACGCCCGAAAAGGTCTGCGTTTCGTCGTCCTCGGAACCCGAACATGACTCCGAAGCGCTGCTATCGTCCACATCGCACGTCGGAGTGGCGTCATAGGAAATCATCCCCAGGTCGGCTGTCCGCCGAAGAACTTCAACCTCTAACGGCGTCAGGTCCGCGAGCGTAGAGAACTCCGCCATGATCGAAGCTCGAATGACAAAAAGGTTCGGCCGATGCGGCTACCTCGGGATCACTGCGCGACGGAACGTCGTCCAACGCCATTGGTCCGAGATCCTTTTGATAAGCGTGCGACGACCAATGAGAGTGGTTTCGTTTTCGGATGGATCCGAGGTTTGGCGGCCTTCAATTACATTTTGATTAAAGAAATAATCACCGTATGACTATACTTTTTGGTTTTTAGGGATACTTAAGGCGTCTAAATTCAGCTGTCATTATCAAAACACGAACTCAAAAACCACTTGACTGCCCCTTTAACTACTATCTATATTCTGTTTATGGCGAGTTCCCAAAAAAAGAACTTGAGATACGGAAATCAGTAAATAGAGAACGAAGAGAGTGCACATAATAGCGAGGTCACTGGTCGCACTTTCTTCGAGTAGGCTGCATTTAAGTGGACGCTATGTTTGCATATTTAGAGGCCATCCTGCTCGTAGTTCGTTTCCTGTCCCGTTCTCTGCTGATTACGTTCACTTACAGTCAGTGTTCGCGAGAGCAATAAATGCCAAACTAACGGGCAAAAAACCTGGACGTTTTATTGTAGTGAAATCAAATAAACAACAAGCAAAAAAAAGTCTTCTTTGTGTGTTTACTTCTCATTTTCTTCTATTTATAATTTCTTTGACACTGAAGTCTGTATTGTTGGCGTGGATCATTTTCCGTTGTGCGCCTCAGTGTGGCAATCTTTACTTCCATAAAACCACCCCTTCTGTTTGAGGGCTTTTTTTTTTTTTCGGGGGGGGGGGGGGGGGGGGGGAGAGAACTCTAGAAAACAAAAGGCGCCTTTGGGAAGGCGAGGGGGAAAACTTCATTCTACGAACTTTTGGCTAAACTATCAGTCACAATCGGCACAAAAGCGATGCCTTCACTAGCTCGATCTAAATCACCGTAGCTTATCGTAGTTAGCAACAGGATTTGGTTGTTTGAAAGAATGTTAACTTTTGCTCGCATCATGCCCACGCCACTTCAGATCGAAAAACTCCGAAAATGGCGTAATGTCAAAAGTGTACGTGAGTAATGAAAACCAGATACTCAGAAACGTAATTAAAATACAGTATCAATAACTTTCGATCAAAACTATTTGCAAGAAACTAACATACATCAAAACGTATTTGATATACAGTATCTTGAGTAAAGTATTTGAGATAGGCAAAACTCTGCTGTCTATTCTAATTTTGACATTTTGTACAATGTCCTCTCCAGCACGGAGCCCGTGTGATGATGGAACCGTTCATTAAAGCCGAGTATAGTTCCAGGTTCTGTCTGTCTTCTTTCTTTCGCGTGACGACCACTCATTGTGCTTCCTTCCCGAAGCCGAGTCCGTTGTCTAGTCTCTAAATCCCAACATCTTCCACTTTGATATTATTATCTTACTCTTTCACTCAAAAGATAATCAAATCAATTGAGAGAATGTATTCAAAGTGAATGGCATTTCACTTCACCAAACTCTTCCTTGAAATATCGCAATCCTGAAATGGTGATTTCAACGACACAGCAGACAGTTCGCGGAACCGAGAAGAAGAAACTAAGGGCGATGAAAAGATGGTACAAATTATCCGTAAAAGCGCGGAAATCTGTTCATTCGTTTAGGACAGAAAAACCCACCAATCACATTAACCTCGGTTAGTAAAACAACCTCAAAATAGGTGAAAAATCGTAATAACATATATTTGTTTGCCCTCCAGCCGTTCTCCATTTCCAACTGAGCACGGTCAATATTGCCGCTCTACTATAAAAAGACTTTCATTTTGTGTCATCCCTCGCTAGTGTGAATCAGAAACATAAAGCTATGTATTGAGTGCTTTCTCTTTAAATTAAAAAAGAACACTCGAGAAAACGTTTTCAGTTCATACTCTACACTGGCGCGCATCAAATAACACAGTCGAATCAAGGGAGGACTGGGGACAGCTGAGTGTCGTAAGGAACAGGCTGAGGCCGGAGATGACCTTTTCAAGGTCCTCCCGCTGCTTGTCGGCCTTTGCTAAGTTTATCTACGCCCTCGCGATGCGCTCCAAAGGCGAACGTGGTCACCACGATGTTTCGCTCCTGGACTACTTGTCCTTTTTTCAAGCATCTTTTTCGGACGGAGGTTCTTGAACGTCCTGTAAGCTAACGTCGGGATTTTAGGCCGCCTTCGCTCACCGTCACCCTCACAGCCGCACTAACCTCAGCCCCTCACTCACCCTCCCCCTAACAACTACACTCAGCCTAAGCCCCTAACTCACACTCAGCCTCATAGTCACACTATCTTTCAGCCCTCTACTCACACTCACGCACTCACAGCTTTCACGGCCCTCACGCCCTCACCCCCCTTACGTTCGTCGCTCGCCCTGACACTCATGAATTTTCGAGGTTCAGTGACTAACTCACCCTCACCTTACCTGTGAAGATGAGGGTGAGTGAGGGCACTCATGAGTGAGGTTTGTCTAGGTATGCCGCCAACCAGCAATGCGTCGCCCGTTCAGCGGTGCCTCGCTGTCTGGAGCGGCGAGCAAGCGAGCTCCCGACAATTCCGACTCAGCTTCATGTTTTCTCTCAAACGTAACGAAAAAAACGGCCAACCTAACTCTAGTTGCGCTAACCGCGCTATCAAACGGCGCGGAGCAGCGAGCCTTAGCTCGCACTAACTTCTTCTTTCTCACCCGTTACGCAATAATCAAACCGCACCAAGCACCCGCGCGGCGAAATTATTGTGAGGCGAGCGTCGACCCCATTTCGCAGGAGATGCCGCGAGGTCACAATACCCGCTCGACTCCTTACAAAGTATGCCTTCAAGTGAAATCAGGACTCACAGAGAAGTCATAATCTCACACAAACCCCACACGCAAATGCACGCGCTTCATTCGAGCTCGGATCCCTCACTAACTGATGCCCCTCACTGCCCTCACGGCCCTTACAGCCCTCACACACTCATAGTCCTGACGCCCCTCATGCACTCCTAACCCTCGCGCACTCACCGCCCTCACGCCCCCCACGCACGCGCTAGCCTCACAACCCTCGGGGTCCTCTCGCCCCCCTGCACGCATGCCCATCACGCACTCACTAGCCTCACATCCCTCACGCACTCACGGTCCTTACGGTCCTCGCGCACTCATGCTCATCACGCACTCCTACCCCTTACGCACTCACGGTCCTCACAGCCCCTTATGGCCCTCACGCCCCTCACGAACTCAGGATCCTCACTCACCCTCAAACTCATGAATTTTCGGGGTTCAGAAACTCACTCACCCTCACCTCGCTTGTGAAGATGAGGGGGAGTGAGGGTGAGGGAGGGCCGTCATGACTGAGGATTGCCGAGGTATGCCTAGAAGACCCCATGGGAAATTTGGTTCTCAACAAGCTCGCGCAGTTCAGTCTTCGTGCATGTGCCGGTACATCTTGTCGTCTATGATTTCCAACGCTTTTCGATAGTTTATTTTGACGTTGCTTGACTCTCCCCTAGAAGAAAGGCAAGAAAACTTGCCTTCTGCCTTACCGCTTTTCCAGAAGGAGAAGCCGAGTTATAGTGACACCATTTATTGAAAGCCAATATTCGGTGGTTTGCGCCGTCATGCTTGCACTCTCTCGGCTCTTGTTCGGTCTGTCACGTTCATCTCGCACCAAGGGGCTCCGGAAATATAACAAGAACTTAGCAATAATATTGCTGAATTACTCGTGCTTCAGCGCGACCTGAGTCTTGATATAAAACCAACGCGTAAATATACAACGTGCAGAACGAACAGATAGCAAAGCGATACGGTAATGACGTTGAAAGCAAAGTTTCTAGGTCATGTTTAAGAGAAAATCTGCAAAAAGCATTCCCAAACGCATAGGATGAAATGGCATGGAAAAACACTTGCATGGAAGTGATCGGACACATTTTATCAAACCTCTTTACTATTGAAGATCCCCCCCTCCCCCCCCCCCCCCCCCCGCGAACTCCCTATCTCCGCGCCGCATCACCACATCCACCGCCTATCTACAATCTGCTGCGCGCTTCTTGCTTGATATCAGCGTTTAGAAAATGTAAATTCTGACATATACTGATATAGGTAATGCTGCTTGTTGTACCAACAGGAAACCAATATGATGCTGATGGAAAGCTGAGGAACTGGTGGACAGACGCCGCAAAACAAGCGTTCCTAAAAAGAGCTGATTGCTTTGTACAGCTGTACAACGTAACTGTAAAAGAAGTCAACATGACTGTAAGTGACGTCCAAGCATTTCTTACCATTCTGTTAAATAATAGTGAACGTGTTACAACAGTAAATTATAACTCGGTATATTTTAAAGGTTTTTAAAAACACGCTTGAAAACTCGCCGATTCTTAATAAATTCGCTCGTTTTTTTATATACTATTACGTTTGAAATCACAGTTATGTATTTATTTATTTATTATTTCATAATATATAGTATTTAAATATTTGAACAAGCAGAGTTTCTTACATCTATCTTCCTCTAAGCACCCCTGTAAACTCAAAACCACTCGCACTCATAAAAAGTGACAAGCCCAACGAGCTTAGCTCGTTCAGCACTCCACTGACCGAGAGCGCCGGCCTACGGATCCCCAGGTGGCGGGTTCGAATCCCGACCGAGGTGCCCGCGATATGACGGAGGCTTATTGTGGAGAAGGCGCCGTGTAACCGAGCTTTCGGTTGCACGTCAACAGATCCCCAGGTGGTCGAAATTAATCCTCAGTCCTCCGCTGGGGCGTGCCAGGTGCCCGTCGTTGGTTTGGCACGTAAAACCCCCAAATTTGACTTTTGACTCCACTGACGCCGGCAGTCAAGTTTGTTAGTTTCAAACCAAAGCTGGAGAATCAATCTCCAATATACATCTGAAATCACTAACTAAATCTTGAATATTTTCCTCTCAAACATAAAAAAAATAGTTGATTAAAATACTATTAAGGCACGGAGATACAAATTCACAACCAACCTTTCACACGCCAATCATCTCCCCAGCCAATGAGAGATGCAAGCACCTTGTAAGCAGGGGGCGGGGCTTAGCCAGGTGCGATTCAACTTCTGCACCTAAATGGCGTCTCAGGGTGTAAATATTGTGCAAAAAACAAGAAAGTTTTGTCGTGGAAATATTGTTTTAAAAAATACGTGTCCCATCTATACCCTTTAAAGAATATTTTTTCCTTGACGTGTTCTTTTAACGGCCTTAGAATAGAATATTTTGAAACAGTCTAGGCACATGCTTCATAGATTAGCAATGCGCAGATATATTAGCTTAATTACTCAGTATGAGACTTGAAAGAAAGAGAGAGTGGGGGGACGTTATAAAAGACAAAGAAATTGAAAGTTAAAATATCTAATAAAATACACCAGAAGAAAGACAAATGGCTAAGTCAATGAATGTGCCAAAATGGATGTTGGACCTTGGTCCAATTACTCCTCACGCTAATGTGTATTTTTTGTTTCGCATGCCTTTTCCCATGATATAAAAAATGTGACCCAGACATGCTCTGAGCAAATCTTCGTATTACTCATTCTATTTGTGCCACCCACGCCATAGCACTTCAAATTCTCGCACTTTTAAGTTAAATTCTTTGCACAACTTTCCTCAAACCTAGGTTTGATGAAAGTTGTGTGCATTCTTGTTCTTAAAGGTATAAGTGATTACCTCACACCTTTACTACGCTGTTAAAAATTACATAATGTATTTCTGCTTCTTTCAGATAGACGGATATTATACTCTAAATGAAAATATGGCTGACAACTCTGGTTTAACAGCAGCCTATCTGGTAAGCAGGTTAAACAGATAAAATATAGCGTTTGTGTAAAGTCTATATATTAAGGTAAAAATGTATCTCATAATATTTTTTTTACACGTCCATCTTAAGGCATGGAAAAAGTTCAATGATACGGAACAACTCCTTCCTGGTCTAGAACACTTAACGGGAGACAAGCTGTTCTTCGTTTCGAATGCCAATGTAAGTTTAATCTAATACGTCTTCTTAGATTTAACAAATTAGAAATATATGTAATACTCCTAGAAACCTTGCATAATACACTAAAAATGTTTCTTCTTTAGCAGTACTTTTTGGCGACATGACCCTGAAGCACCTTCCAGTGGCATAGCATTACCAAAACAGCTAGCTTCTCCCTGGTTTAAAACTGTCTTTAAGCTGTATCGCACCTAACTTTAATGAGGCAGAACATATAATTGAAAACGTTGAATGTTACATAACAGCATAAAATCTTATATGGCGAAAAAAATATTGTCAACACGTTCTTTCGCCGCATACTTCAGAGCCCTTGTGCAATATCTCTTGCCAAAACTCAGTTCATAGAAAGCCAAGGGGAATAGTATATAGGGTGTATTTATTTTTTATCGGATACATATTTTTTAGAAAGAGCCGTGATTCTACACAAATGAGTTCTGCGCAAGTGAGATATTGTCCGGGGGACATTATGTTCAAGAGAGAATGCAACTAAACAATGACTAATTCTCGCGTATTCACCAATTACTTTTTTATTCAAATGTTTTAGGAATCATGTTTATATTGGAGAAATTAAGGCAATCAATGTTGAATGACAGCCCAATTTTTCAAAATAATAGATCGAGCACGCAGTTTTAGTTATTCATCCTCAAGTTTTGTTCTGGAATCTTTCGATACTGAAAACAAATACGCGATGCCCGCCTGAAGGACAACCCTCGTTTGACGCCGGATGGTCACCTGTTAATTACGAAATCTGCGTCCCTATTCTTGTGTCAGCGTGCAGGAGCTTATTGCAGTCGTTGTTACGTGGCTGGCGAACTAAAGCGATAAGCCACCTTCTCTGCCGCGATATGTTTCGATATCACAAAAAACGTATTAAAATCATAGGTGCCAGTCAGGCTAAAAAAATAAACTGAAAATAAACTACTCAGCAAAAAGTGAATGCTTTTACACGCGGTGACGTAAAAGTGACGCCGATTAATTCTTAACACGTGACCCGCCGGCGTCATACGAGGGTTGTCCTTCCTGCGGCCATCGCGCGTTTGGTTTCAGAAACGACAACTTTTCAGAACATACTTTCACATTGAATAACTCGAACTGCGTGTTCGATCCAGGATTCTTAAAAAAAACTGGGCTGGACTTCAACATTGATTGCCTCGATTTTTCAATATAAACATGTGCCCTAAACCGTCTAATTTAGAACGTAATTTGTGACTTGACTTTTTCGTTTATTATACAGCTATTGCATTCTTTCTTGAACCTAATGTACGCCTGGCCGTATGACTCACCTTTCGAAACTGCATTTGCGTATCTTTCACGACTATTTTGAGAAAATATTTTATTCGATAAGAAAAACATCCTGAATAGTATACTACAATGTGCTCCTAATAACTGCACTATAATAATAAGACAGCTTAGGTGAACTTTGGCTTCAGACTCATGCTGCGCACGTATACATGGCTCGCACACGACGTCATCACAGCGTGGTCATTCAGTTTTTTTTTTTTTGGCGAAAAACAAATTTGGCGATGCGAACATACGCCGCTAAAGATATACTCAGCAGCAAGGCCATCACAATAACCGCTATATGATGTTGTTGCTAGTCATGTTTATAAACTCTGCTGCAACCCCTAACGGTCAGGTAGGTGCACGCGACGAATGTGTAACTTAATATATGTGCTATACTAGTAATCTCGAAATATACGTTATGTACACTTTAGGAATAATTACACTTGTTTCATGAAAGCTCACAATTAACGTACGTTAAGTGCGCTGTGTTCAGCTTTCCTATTCATGCAAATAGCCTAATATAGGTTATACAGTTATAAATGCGAAGGATTTTCGAATTTTCTCATCTATCAAAATTTGTGTATCGTTTAATAAATTACCAGTTTAAAAATATTAACAATTCTAATATTTTAAAAAATTTTGTTTTGCTAACAGTGTGTAATAATGCGCCTTTGTTTTCTAAGGTCTGGTGCCAGAACATCAGGGAAGAAAGGCTGCGACATGATCTGTACAATGACAACCACAGTCCTACCAAATATCGGTGAGAAAATCCTTGTTGGGGAGAAGTGTAATCCTGAAATGCGTTTTACGATTTTTAAGCATAAAGAAATTATAGTACATTCTCCTCTACTTTTCTGAAATATGTTTTTATATTGAAATCAGAAGTAATGCATTAACTGGCGGGGAAGGGGGGGGGGGGGAGATACACATATTCGAAGTCAGCTATGCTTAAATGTTATTCCAGGAGCAGCATGCTGTAAGCATCGTGGACTAACACACTTAGTTGTCGCCTTTTCCTTTCTGGAATTATTTTCATATATACTAGAATGTAGCCACCGCCAACGCTTCTCAAGAAGTCATAGATTACTCCTTTGGGTACATATTTTCTTGAACCTCACTACTTCAATTTCATAATTGACATATCATTACTTAATTTTTTTTTAGTGATAAACCGATAGTCGAAAAGGAGAATGATAGAGGTTTACGAGGAAGTTAAATATATATATATTTTTTTTTTTGCTGAACCGCAATAAAACAAATGATTCAGTTATCGCTGTAATCTTAGCCTTATGTGTGGGCCATATACACGAACGCGTACCTCGATAGGAAGGTATTGGTAATTAAAATTGTTGCGCAGACTGTGTGTCAACGTAATGTCGCGAATTCCACCATATTGCGCGCTTAATTCAATCAGAAGTCATATGAGCCACAAAATGAACGGGGACGAAAAAACGCTATAACTTCATAGACGGCGCCACTCAGGCGACACTAAAACCGTGCCAACGCCGCCGTGTGTGCTCCCGTTCATATTTCGGATGATATACGTTCGTACGTATTTAAGTGTAGAATGCCCTCTCCCCACCCCCGTTCTGAACACTTTGTATTCGCTCACAGCTTAAACCGAGGGCACTGACACATCGAAATCATACCTTTTTTTTATAATCCGAAACGATTGAAAATGGTGCCGGGACATTACCCTCAAAATTCGAAACTTGGGAATTCAGTATTTCTGAAGTCAAAAAACAATTTTCAAACGCCGAATTTGAAGTTCCCGCGCGATCCGCACCAGTGCAGTGACATCAAATTTTGCTGTCTCCTGCGAGTCGACTTTCTTTCGCACTTCTGCTTCACGCTACAAAGCAAGGCGCCGTTGCCACCGCGACCCGAAGCGAAGAGGTGAGAAGCGAACAGAAGGTCGCCGGCGGACCGAGAAAAACCGGTTTCTTCGTCCGCTTCCCTCTGCTCGAGTGCTGCCAAGTTTTCCGAGGGAGGGTACAAATCCAGGATTTGATTTTTGGTATTGCAAAAAGAAGGGCCGAACTGCCTTCGCGATTGCGTTAAAAACATGTTTTGTGATTGCCGTTCTTAAATGTTATAAAAATGTCGCCTACAAAGCTTCTAAATTTTGTGTTTTTTGATGTCGCCGATCAAAAAAAGGCAGGAGGTGAGGAGCGGTAGAGAAAAACGCCAAATATAAAAAGGCGCGCGCTCGCGGTGGGGGGGGGGGGGGGGGGGGCGGATATTTTTTTGCGATGCGTTTTTTTTTTTACGTCTTCATGACCACAACTTGCATCGTTTTAGACAATTACAAAATACCCTGTCAGTGTCCCTTTAAACGAACACTAACATCCCTAAACATTTTTTTTTTGTCAGGCGGTTTATTATGGTGTCAGAAGAGTACCCAGTCAATATTTTGCTATGGCGTCACATATTATTTTAGTAAAGTAAAAAAAAAAAAAAAAACGCAACTGCTCGAAACCGAAATCGAAACTGGACTGCGGAGGAAGAAATGTAGAGCAGGAGAAAGTTGGCGAAAATCACGTGGCAGTTCAGCTTTTTTTTTTTTTTTTTTTTTCTCCGATCAACGTATTTGCAGCTTTTTAGAAGTCACAGGAGTTGGGTATCATATTTTGTCTAATTTTAATACTATGTGTGTTTTTTCGATGGCCAACGACTTGGATTACATTTTGTGGTTGTGTCTAAACCATAGAAAACAGCTCGTGACTACGGAGAAGAAAGTGAGCGTGACACAAACCAGACAGTTCTCGATCGGTGGCTTTCGGGAGGAAAGAAAACGAATTTCGAGCCGCGAATTGTTTTCTCGGTAGTTAGACTCTTACATGTCATGTGCAAAAAAAAAGAAAAAGAAACCCTTGGCAAGCATAAATACCCTGTCAGCGTCCCTTTTAGAAAACAGGATGTGTCAAGTCTCAGGCGTCTTCACCTTGATTCGCAGCCAATCGCATTGCTGCATCAGATGATAACAACATCAAAAGACAAACCACGCTTAAGAAGCATGATCACAGTAGGACTGGCACTGCTTTTCTGCGTCTTTCGGGGTCTATGGGGGAAGAAAGTCAGCTTCTTGCGCGCCAGTTGCGGTAACGTCAAAACGACGCCGAGCTCTCATTGGCTTCGATCGAAAGGATAGTGGGTAGACCTCAACGCTAGATGACTTCAGGTCTACCCACTATTTTTAGAGCGCAGCTCTTAGGCGCCGGTTTCTGTGTTTCTCGGCGTCGGCGCTAAACCGCGCTTAACTTCGCGGTAAAAATGACGTCACGTAACCTTAACACAAATTCAATTCACCGCTAAAGTTAGCATGGAAATTTAGTTTCGGGAAAATTCACGTCACGGGACCTTACCACCAATTGTATTTCTCGCTAAATTTTTCGGGGAATTGAGTTGGCGTTGAGGTCACGTGACGTCAATTTTCCAGCTAAATTTAGCAGAGAAACTAACTTTGTTCATAAATGACGTGACACCAAGTCATTTGACGTCCTTTTCCCCGCTAAACTGAATTGATGTTGATATCACATCGCGTCAATTTTTCAGCTACATTTGGCGGTAAAACTGTGGGAGGAGGTGGAGGGGACGACACGGGGGGGGGGGGGGAGAAAGGAGGGTATGCAGGAGAAGGAGGGGAGGATATGAAGCAGGAGGAACGGAGGCGGAGAAGAAGGGGGGAAACGAGGATGAGGAGGAGAAAAAAAGGAGGATAGAAGAGGAGGATTATGACAGGAGGAGGAGAAGAGAAAGAGAGGAAGGGAGGAGGAAAGGGTACGGAGGAGGCGGGGGTGCATATCCTCTCCTCTTTACTCTCCCATCCTCCCCCTCAAGAGCTGCGTCCTAATATCTCATTGCAGAGTTTTGTAAACATCTTTAATTTTTTTTTTTTCAAATAGTCAATAAGACTTCGGCGTTGTCGCATCAACGCAACCCCTGAGCAAGAAGCAGACGAACTGGCGCCCGGTATTAGTAATACGCCAGTGGCTGAAGCGGAATCTCAACGTCATGGTGCTGGTAACAACAATTTAACGGAAGCTGCTTTTTTTTTTTTTGGTTTATTAAAAAGATGAATTAATAATTTTCACAAGAAAACTGAGGTCATAAAAAAAGATTCTCATGAGAGGGCGTAATTGTGCATAGGGGAAAATAAGTGACGTCCTTATCGTGACTTTTTATGTAGTATTTCGCGCATTCTCGTTGCCACTGCTAATTTTTGAATTACTACAGAAAGTTTTCTCTGATAATAATTGAAGCCGATATACAGACTCTTTTGTATGAAGCGTGGGCACCCGACGGCGTCAACTCAATGACTGGCTTCCAAGCCACTGATTTAAAATAAATTATAGGCCGAACCTTTAACGCGTCAATCCGGTCCTAGCAGCTAGTGTTAGCGTTCGTCTGTACTGTAATGGCTTTAAATTTTAAACGCGCGAACACAGACTCGGGCCTTGTCATGCACGATTCATCACTGAAGTAACAGGGCGGTAGAAGCTAGGTGCACGTTGGACCAATCAACCATGTTTCCTGTACCAGGTGATCACGCTCTCTCTGCAAACTTTCACGCAAAGAGCAGGGTCAGGCTATGAAATGTGGGCGATTGTTCTGATTCCGCGAACATGTGGCTGGCAGCACTACTTCGGCGTAGTTGTTTACAGAAGAAAAAACATTCCTGCGAGTAACTAAACCCCAAATTAATATAGATCATAATTGAAACCCTTTAACCATCCCAGTGATGCTCAAAGATTTCAGTAAAGTGAAAATAAAAAAGGCACATCGTGTCGAAGCCAGTGGCCCCTTTTAGACAGCCACATTGAAAATAATTCAACAGTCCAAGAAGACGTACTAAAACGCGTAAACAAAGTTAATTAAAACATCGCGCCTGCTAAAACGTGCGCGGTGTAGAACGTTGTATTCTTGTAAATGAACAACATAGAAGAATTTGTAAATCAGAAACTAGACGCAACGAACTGTTGCTGTCCTTGTAAAATCGAACATACGAAATGTTGTGAACAACCAAGCCATCTCAATTTTTTGGTGTTAAATTATTTTGTCTGGTTATTTGTATAGGAATTGTACTGACAGTTATAGTTATGGATAATATATCCCCCTGTTTCTCGCAATCCCTAGGACACGAAGCTTTAGAATACCTCTCGAAAGAACTGACACGTTTAATCCTCAACTGAAGAGTGTCAGGGCCCCTGACACGGCAACAAATTTTTTTTTCATGCTAGGCGTTAAAATGGTGTCTCAGGACATCACCAAAAAAGGGTTTCATTTTAGAGTTGCGTAGTGTTTTTATAAAAAAAAAATAGAAATGCGATGCCCGATTCAAAGTACCCGCCAGTGCCCTGTGACGTAACAATGTACCGCAAGATGTCGGGGCGGTCAGAAGGGAGACATCGCCGGAAGTCACGTGAGCTGTATCACTCCTCGTGCTTAACGCGACCGCGTGTAATATTTTTTTTTTCATATTTTTGTATTTTCTACACTCCGCCAGCAATGCAAGCAGACGAAGTTTCTTTTATTTGCTTTTCATTGCCTAATGTTGCTCTAAAGGTGGAAGAAGAGGAGTCAGGGAACCTAGTAAACAAGTTCTACTCACGTTCTAGAGAAAACACGTGCTTTATGCTTGACGTTTACTTGTACTTGGTACACTCACCAGTTCGTATTCTCTAGACGGGAGGCATCTTTAGTCTGAAGAGTATCCGATGATTCGACGGCCTTGGTGTCTGAACGTTCAGCAATGCGATCGGGCGTGTCGTATGCTAGCAGTCTTAATTTCTGCAACCTTTCCAAAGATTTTTTTTTTTTTTTTTTAAATTCAATACCTGGTTTTGTGCCCAGTACGGTTCTGTACCATCGGACTGATGGCATGCACTCGTACACTGGCTTGTACTCGCAACGCTTTGATCATTGTCCTCCATCATGTCGATCCACTGACTCTTTGTCCTCAACTTTTACAGCACGCAAACTAACCAACGGTGCAGCAATAAAAAGCTAGTGGAACTGAAACTTTGTTTTCTACGGTCATTCGTAAAAAATACCAAAATAAAAGAAATGAAAGCCGTTTACAACCCCCTGTAACGCCGAATTAGAGCGCAGCTCATGAGGATTAGGAGGGAAGGGTACTGAGGGGGGGGGGGGGGGGGGGTTACGTGACCTCAAAGAGGGGGTCACGTGACCTCGGAAAAAGGGCGGGGGGGGGGGGGGTCGCGTGACTAGGGCGTGGGGTCACGTGACTTCAGGGGGGGGGGGGGGGGTGACGTGACCTCGGGGGAGACGTGACCCCCACCCCCCTCGCCGAGGTCACCGAAGGTACCCGAGGTCCTCGGGGCGGGGAGGGGGGGGGGGGGGGGGGGAAGGTTGCAATTACGCCGTCGCCGCTCAAGCCTGAAACGGGCGCCTAAGAGCTGCGCTCTAAAAAAGTCTAAGGCACGGTCGTGGAGAGCACGGGGAGTGAAACTCACGTGACTTCCGGCGAACCCACTTTTAGTGACGTAGGTTGATGCCTCCCTTCTGACTGCCCCGACACCTTTCGGTACATTGTTACGAAACAGGGCACTTGCGGGCACTTTGAATTTTTTTGGCGTGTCAGAGGACTTTAAGGAAATCGTTAATGAGCCTAATTTGTATGAACAGCCACAAATGCTTGGCGGTTGCAAATGCTTGCATAAAAAGATTATTTTTAAATATTATACGAGACAATCGGGTAACTTATGTTTTCTCTTCTTTTATTTCACGTTCAATCAACACAAGCTGCATTCTGTCACTTTATACGATGTCAACTTTGACACAATGTATACGTATCGAGTTCCCCTGAGACTGGTCATTTGCGTCATTTTACCTTTTTTCTGAAGGAACCGCCACAATTTCAGTGATTTGCTTAAATAATTGTGGGCGCTGGTATCTTTACCCCTTTGAAGTAATGAACAAAAACTTGCTTTTGCCTGCATGCCCTAGTTTTTTTTTGTATGTCTTTTTAATGACAAAGGTTGAGGTTTTTTGGTGCCTCGTAACTCCGTCACCATCTTCCGAGTCACTTATAGACCAACTCAACTCTCTGACGTCACGGCGCTGCGGTGGCGCTGCTGTCGGCACTGGGCATGCGCAGGTGATTCACCTAGGCCGAATCTGGTTTCTGCGCGCGCGCAGTGCCCTCGCCTGGTGGGCAAACGCGGGCTTGTTTGTAAACAATGTGTTGGTCGATACGCTGCGACGTGAAAAAAGGGCGCGCGGGGTTACGGTGAAGCTCTCTCACTCTAGCGCCATCAGCAAGCAGCGAGAAGCTCACCCGCTCTCGACCACGTGAGCCCCTGCTTGAGCCGAGCGATTAACATGGCCAAAGAGGAAAGTGCCAACGTGCTCGTCCATCTCCGGCCGTCCGGCTGTCTAGAGCGCTCGATATCCGGAGTTTTTCCAAGTACCGCCATTGTTTAATCGTGCCACGGGCGCTCCTATTAGTCACCGGCGACGCGCCGCCGTTTCGGAGCCGCTGCCGCGCCAAACTATAATAGATGAGCGGCGTTTGGCAACTTCAGGAAGTTTCTTTTTTTAGCTGTTGACAATCGACGACGATGATCTGCAAGCCTGTCTAAGAACGGTTCTGAAAACTACAGTCAGGAGGTTTCAGAATTATGCTTGCACAGGCATGCAGCTGATTGTCGTCGTTGGTCAACAGTGAAACAATATTTGAGGAAGTGGAAGTTGCCAAACGCCGCTCACCTATTGGTGGTGACGCCCCTCCATTTTTGGTTCAAATGCGTCCCAGCATGAACTAGCTTGGCGGTACTGGTTTATTAAATTCAAATTCATCCAACGCTTTACGGCTGTCCGGCTTCTGGCGGCTCCTCGAGGTAGCAGATAGAACTGAGGGTTTTGAATACCTCGGATAGATGGCGCAGTGAAACTCCGTATAATAGAAGTTTTGTCGATGATCCCAGATTTTGGACACATTTATACTGGTGTTAGAACGATAAGATTTATAAAAAAAAAAAATAACTTTTATTAAACAAGTAGTTTAACAATTTTTTTTTTTTTTTTTTTATATATATATCCTTTTTTGCGTCACGCCGCATGCTCCTCATGGCCGCCGCTCGAGGCTGCAGATCGGAAAATATTTTAATTTTTGCCTCAAGATTACGCGGCGGAATAGCAACATTTCGAAGGAAGAATATGTCTTTTCTGTCCTTTTGTGACAAGATAAAAATGTAAAAATAAAAGGTGCAAATTCTTTAAACGTTAAAGACGTTGCACAGCTCCTTTAAAGAGGAAATACAAGAAATGTTGAAAGGAAGTAACCGTACTGATCGAATGGTGAAATGATTCCAAACCACTGATCTAACAAAATTTGGCGGCACTGCCAAAGTGTTTATCGGCATGATTTCTTCATCTGCAGATTTCAGCTGTTTTTCATTAAAAAGATTGGGCAGTTAGGTGTTTCGTTTTATAGTTGAAGAGAAGCTTACAAAATGCGCTGTCATCATTTTGTGTGCTATATTTACACTATCTTCTCAAAACCCAGATGTATTTCAATAGAATCATCAATGCACTTTAGGATATTTCCTGGAGCCTCAATTGCATTTCTTTTCCCCAGAGTGAACCTTCCAATGGGAAATTCTCAAGCTTTTCTGGATGCATTCAGCTGCGGCCCCTGTTCACCCATGAACGTTAAAAATAAGTGCGTTGTGTGGTGACCAACTGTAGGTTCGAAATAAAACTTCGAATTAAATAAAGGTGAACTGAAGAAGCCCAGGATGCCTCACACGCACATCTGTTCAACTCACTGACACTGCAAATAAAAAAAACTGTATGTTTGTAAAAAAATAAAAAAGAACACATAGCGGATTAATTTTCTCAAATATCACATTTCGGGTGAGTATTTCTTCACTGCAATGCGCGGCCTCCCTTCTTCCAAGGTACCTACTTGGAATTATAACCGCGCATGGTGGTTGCGTTTTCAAAACGTTTTGCTTAATGACTTTCTTCTTTGGCCTATTTTAAAACTGAATACAATCCCGAAACACTGACCTTGCTCTCAGGTTTAAGTATCAGGTGATAGTTGTATAAGTGTCTGTTAATCTCAACCTTCTAAGCACATGTAATTATTATCCCAAATACAGTACTTTAGAAATCACAACTATTAGTGCCGCATTATGGTGGCTACCTTGGGTTTTTTGTTTCGTTACTGCAAGAATGCATGCTACTTTAATATTTACTTTTTTTGCATTTCTTTATGGTTTGTGCCTGCAGTATGTCTTTGAATCGTCTCAGTTGTGTATCATGCTGCCCACAAGGCACACCTCAATCGTTTGTTTCGAGACTTAGGCCCAGAAATGTTAGCTAACAACAGAACAACCAAAGGTGTAACCTAATTTTGGCATTTTCTCGCGAAGTGAGGCACAAAAAAACGACATGAGAGCCAAAAAAACAAAAGCAGACAGTAAAACTTAGCTTTGGCACTTGATCGGCAGTATAGAGCCAAAGTACATAGCTGACAAGTGAACATAAAATTTGGTCATTCCTTGACTTTTTTTTAGCTTTCAGAGCACTAGACACTCAAACAAACGACACATTTCGGCTCAAAAAATTGTGCTTTTGGGATTCTACCTATATATCGCGAAGAAGAGAAAGACGAATATACCAGGGTTGCTGGTCAGCGGATTTTGCTTATTTTTTTTTTTTTTTTTTATTGCTCTCTTTTGCTGTTCTGCGTTGTTTTCTACAAAGCCGTTCACCGGATAGGCTTCGGGATGCCATGATATTCAAGCACCAAATCGAAACTGTTATGTTATCACTAGGGGACGGCTAGCTGCGAATCCAATTAAAAGTTTCAAACAACAGCTTCCTTTTTTTTTTTTTTCTTTAACAAAACGAGACTGACGCAATATGCTGCGCCATCGTTGTTCGTGCACCGTCCGCCAGAGCCGTATATGTAGAGAGTTCGGCCATTCGTTGGGAAGTATAGGAGACAAATGAGGAGGCGCCATAGGCCGTAAGCGGGCTGTGCGTGTTCCAGGGCGTCTTCAGAAATTCGAATGGGACCAACCAGAAGCCGGAAACAATACTCTGGCGGTAGTTGCGAGAAACAAACCTGATAACTGTATTGGAGTAACTCTCGATGGCTGAAAATGTGGTACACGTGATGTTTCAATCACGCTCATCCAAAATGATGGTGGAAGAGTGCGACTAGCGGAACGATCGACATAATCCGTAAGCCAAGCGCCGAGGGGCGGGAATCTGCCGTCCGAGCGGTCACACTCTGTCCGCGCAAAACAGAGTTGAGCGCCGCATTCGTTTTTTACATCTTTCTGCATGGTCATGATCAAAACAATACGTGCACCCTATTTTCAACCAAGAAGAGTTACTACACTTCACTCTTACGCGCTTATTAAAAGCGCTTATTAAAACCATATACGAACATAGACCTTCGATCGGAACTGTTTCTCGCTACCACCGCTAGGGGATTCTTTTCGGCTTCTGGTTGGTCAAGAGAGCATGCCAAGCCCTCTTTCCGAGTCTGCCGCACGCCCTGGCTCTGCCCGCACCTCCCATTGACCAAACTCTCTATATACACGGCTCTGCCTTCCGCCTGCTGTTCCAGCGGGTGGATAGTACGAGCTGCATGACACGTGACCATCATCGGCGTCCGGCACACGCCCTCTGACCAAGCAATCAACTTAATTTGAGAAGACGTCCAGAACACCCCTAGTCAATCGGTCGTATGATGCGTGAATCTTAATAAAAATTTGCCGCGTTTATTCTTGATAGTAGGGCGCAGTAGTTTTTACTTTTTAATCCGCCTTTAGATTGCATATAAGTTTCAGTTTTCTTCTCCAAGAACACTGAAAAAAGTAGATCGGTTCACGCACAGCGACTGCGCTGCCCGTCCTGCGCCCACAATGACCGTACAATTTTGATGCAGCGCGCTAAATCTTCATTTTCGATCGCTAACTTTCTAACAAATGCATACTAATGTTTCTAATGGTTATTAGATATATATATATAAAGCAACGCAGTAAATTAGGAGCAGACCTGTAGACGTTACCCCAAAAAAGTAACTAAGCGTTGTTACTCGTTACCCGCTCAAAAAGTAAATAAATACGTTACTCGCTACCGATTCTTGAAAGGAACGCGTGAGTTACCTCAAAAGCAACGAGTTACTTTTCACGTTACCTCAACGACCGAATACACAATTGTTTTTGTTTCATGGTTTATTGTTTTCTTTGAAGTAGTCGTTGCACCTAAGCAGTAGCTGTCTCCCGAAGTTTTCATCAGTTATGTTTCCCCGCTTCCTTGAGAATACACCTCTGGCGACGCTGAAGTGTCGTTCTACCGACGCGTTTGAAGGAACGGCAGTGTTGTGCTTCAGGAAGAACTGGTGAATCTTCGGGAACTGCGCCTTCATTTATGACAGCGGTTAATGGGTTATATGCCTTCCCGTGTTGGCAACCTCCGGGTTTTTATTCAGTCGGTACCCGGTTGTAGAAGGCTCAACCAACGAACCTGAATGTGGTCAATGGGTGAAGGACATTCCCAGCTGTAGAGTTCAGTAGAGCAACGTTTATCGCCGGACACGACAGTCGAACTGTTCGACTGACGTGTTCAGCTATATAGGTTGCAGTTCTGCCATATTGTTTAGTTACTTTTCGGGTTGCCCACCTACCGTTCTCGCAATAGACGCATACTCAAGTTAGAATAAAAACAAGGCCGTTTAAGCGGTGTCGTACACGTTACTCCTCACAAGTAACGAGATACCGTTACTCGTTACTTGGCCTTAAAAGCAACTAAATACGTTACTCGTTACCGAAAATAGTAACTAGATAGAAGTAACTCGTTACTTGTAACGCGTTACGTAGGAGCAACTTTCCCTTCTGCGTAACGTTCAGCGGTACGAACGTACCGTCACGCGTCCGCGACCGTCTCTATCAAGTACCAGTGTTGCCGTCCTTCTCGAGCCGGCACTTCCGGTTTCGTTGTCAGCCCCCGAAGCAAAAATTGAAAGAAAATACCTACAATATTATGCGCAATACAACAAAATATTCTTCAAAATTAAGCATACTAGCTTCATTTAAAACTTCCAATAACTTTGGAATGTATCAAATAGAGAGGAGTTACTTCGTAAGGTTATTTCAAGAGAGGAGAGTTGCCTGCACAAGAGTTTTGTCTCAGATCACTCGTGCAGGCAACTCTCCATATAGGTTGTGGCAACCTTGTGATCCAGGGCGTTGTACGAGTTTGCCTGCACGTGAAATCGTCCTTCACTATTTTCTACCGAGAGGTGGCAAAATGCAAGCGGCCAGGCTGGCGCCACTCCGCCGCTGATGAAAGGTAGACGGAAAAGTATGCGTGGTGGGTTTTTGAGTCGCGGCGCGTGCCAGCAACAGTCCCTAAATGAATACGTGTTGTTGAACCAGGTGCGTCATGTCATTCCTCGGGACTGCGCCGAGTGGCAAATCGTCATTACTTAAGCATTTGTCGGCCTAATTCGTAGGCGACTGAACCCTTTCGGTCATTCTGAAGTGGAGGGGGACACAAAAGGTCAAGGGGAAAGCTGAAAAAAAATTAGGGCTGGGCGTCGATTAACAATTTTAACCCGATTAATCGCCACCCCTTAATCGATTAATTAATCGATTAATCGGTTGCATTGATTATTTATAAATAATATTTTAAAAAGAATGCAAAAACTCGGCTTGCCTTTGAAGACTTTTTTTACTCTCTGTTACACGGCGCAAAGGACATTTACAATTGAGGATACTTGTAGTTCAACGATTCAAAGACTTGCATATTTTTGCTCCAGCTCCGAAGACGAAGAAGTTTGTCCACATTCTCCGGCAGGAAGACAAGAAGTCAGGGCTTGGGCGATGCTTTCTTTTTTTTTTCAGAGAAAGGGGTCTCGACGAGAAGGCGTTGATTGTTGTCTGCGTTTTGGCGGATGGTCCTTGCTGCAGCAGCGTACATGGGTGCTTCGCTCGTAGGTGGTACTGAAGCGAACGTACGCTTCCACTGTATGAAAACGGCTTTTTGCAGATGATACAGTGGACTTCCTTCTAGTTAAAAACTTTACCGACTTAAAAACTTTAAACCCCAACTTTCCTGCGAGATTGCCTTTCATACTCGTGAACTCGTCCATTTGTACGGGCCAAATACTGGAACAAGTTATCATGGCGTTGTTAGCTTCCCAGCTTGTTTTTCTGCTTCTTTGTCTTGCTTGGACAGGATGTGTAATAGATCCTCAACACGTGAAGTTTCGCGGTCGTAAACGGATCAATCGCGGGCCCGGCTTGTTCGTCTGGCCTCGGTAGAACGGTAATGCATACCCTCGAACACGTGACGCTTCGCGAGCGCGAGAATTGAACCTTGCCCGTACACCTGACTGGGAACAGAAAACCGCTCAGGACAGAACGACCGGATGCACGCCACGCAGCGTTTTCCTTAAGGGGGGCGGGGGGGGGGGGGGGGGGCGGGGGCATGAGTCACTCTATAGTTTGGGCAGGTCGTCCAGGATAGGGCCATGCGTGCGTCCAGTCATAGCCTCCTCTAGGGGCTATAGTCCAGTTGACTTACTTTTGAGTACCGATTAAAAAACCGATTAACCGGTTAAAAAATTTGATCGCGATTAAAGCCTTAATCGATTAATCGAAAGGTTAATCGATCAATTACCCAGCCCTAAAAAAAATACACTGCAATTCGCTCA